AAGCCAGCCGCAAACTCCTCTGCCGCGCCTTGATCCTTTGGCTTCTAGGCGACCCCCCTTCCCCGCGGGGCCATGGCGTGGGGGCCTGGGGCTACAGCAATCAGGCGCTGTCGCCTGTGTTCTGAGCCCTTGAGCCAAATGGCTACGGATATAAATATAAATATATATATATATACACACATGGGAAACCAAGTAGGCCCCCACATTCCTGTTTTACGTCTCCCAAGCGCTTGATATGTCCTATGATCCCCCTCATATTATATCAAGATATACCCGTGTATTTATTTCCTTATTTATAAATTTATACCTGTTTTTTATGTGTGTATGTATGTATGTATATATATATATTTAACAGGGGTGTGTGTGTATACACGTGTGTGTGTGTGTGTGTCTGTGTGTGTGTGTGCGTGTGTGTTAATCAAATGCTCTTACTTACTAGTGCTTGTTGCACAGAAAAGTCATTTTCAGGGCGGTCCATCGCTGGCCCTAAACCCTAAACCCTAGGTTCACCGCTGGCCATGGCAAAAACTGGCCAGCCTGCGGAGGCAAGGGCCCGAGACCAGCAGCACAAGGCTCCATGGGCCCGTGGTACGACATGTATGGATGGATGTCTTCCAGGGTACTAAACCCTAAACCCCTAAACCCCTAAACGCTAACACTACGATGGTATATGGTAGTAGAATAAAAGAATCCTAGACTAATCTCATGAAAATGCAAGGGTTGGCTCATGGCACACTAGACATTCGAAGTTGCGCCGCACGGGAGACTGTGGGGCTTGGGTTAGGGTTCAGCGTGATCTGAACGCCTTAATAACTAGACTAGGGTTTTGGAGTCCTGCAAAGTATAATTATAATAAGGAGTCCCCAAAATAGTATAGGCAATAATTTGTGCCCCAATATTAGCACCACAAGGGACCAATCATTGCCAATAGCTTGCCAATGCTGAAGGCTGCACGCAAGGAGCCCTACCCAGCTGCATATGACACACTCCCTTTCTCCTGCGAATCCCAACAGTGAGCCCTCTATCAAACGATTCTGACCCCTACATCCGAAACCACAAACCCATGGCAATACTCGCCCTAAGCCCCAACAGCTTCTGAAACGCTCGCCCAAACAGCCCACAATCGAACAACTCTGGGGAGTCTCTGACAGGTGCAAGCATTGGCCAAGGAGCAGGGTAGCAAAGCCGTGATAAGAGCGGCGCCCTCGCTAGTGAACTCCCTGAAGAACATGCGTGCCATCCACCAAACGCAGGCTACCTGGCAAGGGCTGCCACATGCTGCCACGAGAACTTGGTTCCACGCAGACCCAGACCCAACCGGAAACCCGAAACGACTAAACCAAACCTGGGACTCTCAAGAGCCCTCAAGGGTTTAGGGTTTAGGGTATTCCTCAAGCTTAAAGCGAAAGGCCATTAGAACCCTGCAAACATGAAACTATGGATTCGAGGTTGAAGGGGGCAGGGTATGGGGTTTAGGTCGATGATTTTCTTTTGGGGGTGGGTCTTGAAAACATAAACGACACCATCTTGACGTTGCTTTCAACATCTGCGTAGTGACTAAGTAATACCTCATATCTCCTTGGCCCACAACCAGAGTTTATTGCACATACTAACTTGCCTCTTTACTTCATGAGCATGATCAGCTAAACCCTAAACCAATGGCCGTAAACCCTAAACCCTAGACCCTAAACCAATGGCAGCCGAGCAGCAGCGACATTCATGGCCTCAGGAGCTCGGTGGAATTTCAGAGCTGCAATCGACGAAAGAGCGGAAGGCTCGGTGTTCTGGGTTCTGGGGTTTAGGGTTTCAAGGTTTAGGGGTTTAAAGGGTATAGGGTTCCCGCATGGTTTATAAGGGTTTAGGGTTTAGGGGTTTAGGCTTTCGAGGTTACAGGGGTTTGGGGTATAGGGTTACCGCATTTAGGGAATTGGGGCGACAGTTTCGACGACAACAAGAAGGGCGTCCCGACCTCAGGACCGTCGTCTTGCTAGTAATGCTGCTACCCCTAAGGGCCCGTGTACCCAAATAGTGTATACATTGGCCTTAATGTAGTCCCTATATAGGTACTTTAGGGCCAATGTATATACTATTTAGGTACATGGACCCTCTGGGCTAGCATGCACATGGACCGCAGAGGAGCGAAAAGGCTGCAGTTTTTTGTTCTTTTTTTGCATGGCCAGCACCGTGGAGTAATTGGCATTGAAAAAACGCTCCTGTAGGCAGTTCTCGGCGGTGGTGCCTCATATCTTAACTTGATGTTGTGTGCGACGAGCATTCGTCCTAATGAAGCGGTAGAATTTCGGATGTCAGGTTCAGGGTTACCCACGGGATTCAAACACTACCTACTGCTGGAGTCGGGATAAATTAAGTCCGTAAATAACATCTACAGTACTGCGTAAGCTATTTGGACTCTCAGGGGCAGCTATGCTACGGGGTCGGGTTTGCACGCTGTCCACATGTACGCCGGCTTCAACTATGTCCCAACGAGAACGACATTTAGGTGCAGGGAGTGTTTGTCGTAGTCAGCTGCTTCTGCACTCTCTGGATTCCCGTGCAATCGCCACGAAGACTCGAAATACCCATCTAAACCGAAGTCGCAAGTAGCTCTGCAAACAAGCAACCACGCCGACGTAGACAATCACTTCTACAAACAGCGGGGCCAAGGTGATCTTGCCACCGGGATTGGCAGTTCGGTATGCGGCCAGCTCGAAGACCTTAATATAGGTGCTGTAGTACTTGGCGTCGGTTTTGGGTATACTAGACAACATGTCCTATATTGACATCGGGTCTACAAGGTGCATCTGACTGAGGAACGCAAACCGAAAAAAAAAAACTGGTTTACATTTCGCTATGTAGGATGGCAGCCCTCTGCAGACTTTGGATACCATATCAGACGGCCCCGTATTGCCGAAAACCTATGGACATGTCATATTCGAAAAGGGGAACACAACAAATAACAAACACTCTTCGAACTGACAGAGTGAATGAGCGAAGATGCGGCGGAAACATTAAACTGACATGATGTTGTAGCTCAGTGACGACGTTGTCTTTAGTCAGGCTTCCCTTGGCACATTCTTTAAAGCACCACGTGCAGCCTTGTTTTCAGCATGTCCCGAAAGGGACCCCCCCCCTAAATCCGAAACCCCGAACCTAAACACCACAAATCCAAAGCCCTCTTCAACTGCTGACATTTATACAGGTGCACACGCACATTTAGAACACAAAAGTGCATGCACCTTCAAGCAACATCTCCCCAAACCCTTAAGCCCCCTCCCCGTCCGTCCGCCCCCCTCACCTTAAACCCTAAACCCTAAACCCTAAACCCTAAACCCTAAACCCTAAACCCTAAACCCTAAACCCTAAACGCCCAACAAAAAGAGAAGCCCCAACGACCGCCGAGTTACGCACCAGAGCCTCGTTAGGTAACCAGGGCTCCACAACACTCTGAGCTCCCCTTGGCGGTTTAGAGTTTAGGGTTTATAGGGTTTAGAGTTTAGGGTTTATAGGGTTGAGGGTTTAGGGTTTAGGGTTTAGGGTTTAGGGTTTAGGGGTTTAGGGTTTAGGGGTTTAGGGTTTAGGGTGCGAGTTCCGCAGGCAGCAAGAATGGTGAGGGGGGGAGGGGGGGGTGCATGGAGAATTAGGGCCAACAGGTTTGAGGGGCTACTAAACGAGTCCCGCTATGACTCGTGTGGGCACGACACATGCTCTACATCTTGGAAAGTAGACTGTGGTTATTGGTGTGTTAAGGCTGGGCTTAGGTGTTGATTAGGCCTCATACTTCTACAGGTGTATGACGATATTAGCCCAATATTCAACCCTAAACCCTAAACCCCAAACCCTAAACCCCTAAGCCCTAAGCCCTAAGCCCCTAAGCCCTAAGCCCGAATTTTATAATTCAGCCGACATGGAGCTGAAAGCCTCACACTTCGGAGCTTCTGACTGGAAAGGGCTCCGTGGAGTTAGGGCTTTGAAGGGTTGAGACTACTCCATGGATCTGGGCTTTAGGGTTTATAGAGGCTAGAGTATACCCTAAACCCTAAACCCTAAACCCTAAACCCTAAACCCTAAACCGGGTTTACTAAAAGGCGTGAGGTCTTAGGGTTAACCTGCGCCCGGGCACGGGAGATGCTCAAAAAGCCGCCGATGCCGTAGATGCCCCTCTCCATGAGCTTGGCGTCCTTTTAGGGTTTGCTTAGGGTTTAGGGTTTAGGGTTTAGGGTTTAGGGTTTAGGGTTTAGGGTCTAGGGTTTAGAGTCGGTTTAGGTTTGCTTCGGGTTTAGGGTTTAGGGTTTGATGATCCGTGGGTCTGTAGCACAGTGGGGGTTAGGATTAGCGGGACCCTTGAAATATAGACCCTCTCAATAAGGCCTCTATTAAGAAAGCCAGAAGTAGGGTTCGGAAGGGTCTCTAGTACCACATTGGATTATAATTACAGTGCAAAATACCCCCGAAGCCTATTCTATTTATTCAGGCCCCTAAACAAAAAACTGAACGTTTGCTGGTTAAGTTGAAGCTCGAAAGCTGAAGTTAGAATGAGAGCTCTACGTCCGTAACTACGCAAGAAGATTCGAGCCTGAAGACGTCGATTGTCGAGAACCCTAAATTAAAGCCTGAACCCCGCAACTAGGACTAAGAGGCTAAATCGCTCGGCCAGTGTTTTCTGACTTCGTGGTCCTATGCTGCACCACTTGGCAGAACCTCTGTCATGCAACCACATAAGGCAAGAAGCCCGATCAGGCCCCCTTCTACGATTTCGAGCAACGATCCCCGCACCCTCCTCCATCCTGGGTAATGCTTGACAATTAGGGTTTAGGGTTTAGGGTTTAGGGTTTAGGGTTTAGGAGAGCTTGACAAGCTCTTCATAAACGAATACCGAAGATCACAGAGGGCTGTATTCCTTGAACAGGGTTCTTGAAGTCACTCCGAGACTGCTCCAAGCTTTTGGGAGTTCGTGAACAGCAGCTGAAGCTTTGTACCCCAAGATATACTGTGCCGAACCCGACCGGTGCTATGCTACCCTTGAAAATTGACTTGAAAGAACGGGTGCTTTAAAGCTTGTGATTTGGGTGTTCGGTGTGTGATTTGTTGGGGATGTAGGTTCTTTGAAGGGCTGTCAGGTCCTTGGGCAAACCAAGTCTCTTTGCATCTCAGGCAGGAACCTCATAGTGTCACCACACTTGTTGCGGAGAAAAACCCTAACCCCCTAGAAGCTACATTAGCATACTCCTAAGCCCTAAACCCCCAAATCGTATATTGATACCCCCAAAATGTCTCCTAAACCCTAAGCCCCCCCTCTCTGAATACCAAACGCGGTCGCCAAGGGGCTGTCTGATGGATGCTGGCCACATCGATAAAGCAGTCGTCCTTCCGAGCGAAGTTGAGTTGAGGCTAGGTCAGGGGGTTCCGGCTTATAGGGTTTAGGGTGTAGGAAGTTTAGGGTTCACGAAGTTTGGGGTGTGGGGTTTAGGGTGTGGGAAGTTCCAGGTTTACGAAGTTTGGGGTTTGGGATTTAGGGCTTTGGAGTTTCGGGATCCTCAGGATTTGCATGGGGAGCTTTGCATTAGAGCGGTTGGGGGCTCCATCGTAGCTCTACTCCGGTTGAGGTGCTGAAAGCTTTCATAGAAGGACGCAGAACCGACGGATGCTGAGTTGAGGCTTCATCAGCGCGGTTGTATGAAAGCGTCAGAAGATCAAGCTTACGGCCTGTCCTCGTTTGAGGATTTACTTAGGCCGCCTACTGGTTTCCTGCGTGTGCCGGCAAAGCCAAGGCGTTCCTTTAGCTTGCGGAAACCACCCTAAACCCTAAACCCCCAAAGCGCTTAGCCCTCCACTCCCAAGTCCCCCTAAACCCTAAACCCTAACCCTAAGCTCTAAACCCTAAACCCTAAAAGCCCGAATAAAGGCCCTAAAAACCCTAAAAGCCTTAATAAAGGCCCTAAAAACCCCTAAAGGCCTTAATAAAGGCCCTAAAAGCCCTAATAAAGGCCCTAAAAACCCTAAAAGGCCTAAGGATCATCCTTGGAGCCAGGCCAGCGCAGGTAGGGCGAGGCCAGGAGACCCAGTAATGAGCAGAAGACGCTGGCCAGTAGCACCCAAGGACCTGCGAGGCCTCAGAGCATGGTTTTAGGGTTTAGGGGCTTAGGGTCTATAGGGTTTAGGGTTTTAGGGTTTAGGGGCTTAGGGTCCATAGGGCTTTGAGGGTTTAGGGTTTAGGGGCTTAGGGTCCATAGGGCTTTGAGGGTTTAGGGTTTAAGGGTTTTGGGTTTAGGGGCCTAGGGTCTATAGGGCTTAGGGCTTTGGGTTGAGGGTTCTAGGGTCTAGGTGTCTCGATAACTAGAAGTTTCAAGGGGTAATCAGGAATCAGGAATGCGTGAATAAGTGTTTATGTCCTTATACTATGCATATACCTAAACCCTAAATTCTAAAAGCTAAACCCTAAACCCATATCCCATGACCTGCAAAGGGTACGTTGTGGTTTTCGCTTTTGGAGGGCTGGGGGTCTCAGAGGCTTCAGTCTCAGAGGCTTCCCATGGCTTCTAGTAAAGCCGCTTGAGCAGAGGATCTTGGTATAGATGCGGGCAGTGGCTCGCAGGTGCTAAGTGCTTACCGAGACCCTCAACTAGAGCTACTAACCAGAGTTTTGATGCTCCTGTGTTGGCCACCCTGTGAACGATACCAGCTGCAAACATCAAGCACTGTTGGCCCGAGGGCATTCGTTGGTCAAGGATGTCAATACTGACTAAGTGTTTGGTCTAGCATGTGTGCATATGTATAGGTACAGCTCTCTGTAGATGTGTAATTGTATATGTGAATGTATGTATGCGCATGTGCATGCCTATGTATGCAATGTATCTTGTAATGTATGCTATGCATGCATGCATGTATGCATGCATGCATGCATGTATGTATGTATGCATATATGTATGTAAGTACTTAGTTATGCATGCATGCATGCATGCTGGCAAGCTTGTCTGCCTGACTGCCTGTGTGCCTGCCTGACTGCTAGTCTGTCTGTCTGTGTGTCTGTCTTTGTCTGTCTGTCTCTGTCTATCTCTGTCTGTCTATGTCCGTTTCTTTCTGTCTCTGACTGTCTCTGTCTCTCTGTCTGTTTCCTTCTGTCTCTGGTTGTTTTTGTCTGTCTCTCTCTGTCTCTCTCTCCCTCTCTGTCTCTGTCTGTCTCTGTCTGTCTGTCTGTGTTCGTCGGTGTCGGAGCATGTCTGTCGCTGTCTGTCTCTGTGTGTCTCTGTCTGTCTGTCTATCTATCTGTCTGTGTATTTACACATAGAGATGTATGTATGTCGTAATGCAGGTATGCACGTACTGTATGTAGGTACTGCATGTATATGCACATGTATGTATATGTTTCTATGTGTGTACCTATGTATGCATGCATGCATGCATGTTTGTGTTTTTATGTTTATGTATATTTATATTTATGTATATACATGCGTATTAATGTAAATGTATATGTATGTCTGTATGCAGCCAAGAACGAACGAATGAACGAGCAAACGTACATATGTATGTATGTATGTATGTATGTATGTATGTATGTATGTAGGTATGTATGTATGTATGTATGTATGTAGGTATGCATGTATATATGTATGTTTGTGTCTGCGTGTATGTTTGCATGTATGTACGTATGTATGCATGTATGTATGTATGTATGTATGCATGTATGTATGTATGTATGTATGTATGTATGTATGTAATGTGTGTAATGTATGTAATGTATGTAATGTATGTAATGTATGTAATGTATGTAATGTATGAAATATGTAGTGCATGTAGTAATGTAGTGTACGTAGTGTATGTAATGTATGTAATGAATGTATTTGTGTATGTGTGTATGTGTGTATGTATGTGTGCACACATACTCAACTATTGGATAATTTTAGTGTTGCATTATGTTTATGTGCTTATTTTTGCTTGTCTGTATGCTTGTGCATATATATGTATATGCACATATGTACACAGTTTGTATGTGAAAGTAAAAAACAGCATATACTAATGCCTCTCTCTCTCTATCTATTTTTACAGAAAGCGTCGCACTGCAGGCCCGTGTTTTGAAGCTTTCCTTTTCTCCATAGTATAGGCTAGGATGTTGCAAGAGTCTTGCATCTATTTGTTTCTAAGCCAGAAACCGTCTATATATATATATATATATTCACTATTATATTATATATATGATAATGTATAATATAGAAAGAGCCAAATGGGACTGGCAAGTGCTCTCTGTCTCTGCCTTGCCGGACAGCTGCTCTCGGACGAGCTCCTGAGGTCTGCTATCGATGAATCTTCAAAAGCGAGGGATCAAAAAAAGGGAGATTCGATTGATTTGACGACTAAACTTCGTGATGGATATTGTCATGCTTTCAGGCTGCAGATCATTCTGAGTCTACGGCATGTCTGCCCAAATCAGTTCCTCGCCACTACTGCTTCGTGGACTCTGACGGCATTGTCTCAATTCGGGCTGCGCACACACTTCCACCCGAACGATGAGACAGTCAACTCACCGCGAACACACATCTACGCTGACGTTGCTCCACTTGCGAGGTTTTTGGTTGCAGAGCTCGAGCAAGCCAAGGCGAATTCAACCTCATAGCCCTTCATGCCCGCAAAAACCGAGTACAAAGAGAGGCGGACAAACGAATGCGGAACGTCCCTCAGACTCCAGCAAGGAACCTCGACCACCCGCTTTGCCCGCTGCTCCACATCCAGCAGCTGAGTCAGCACCTCCTTCAGCAGCGACTTCGGATCCTGCGGGCCCCGCAAGACAAAATGGGGTTGGACCAGAATGTGGCCCTTGGCCTTGCCAACAGAGCCATTCTCTTCCTCCGCCTCATCCCTGTGGCACTCAGAGTTTCCTCATGTTTGCTCTGATGGATACAAGCTCTGCCTCACAAGCAAGTAGAGCACGGCAAGCATGAACAGAGTACCCGCCGCAAGGATTGCAGGCTTCAGATCACTCATCGCGGGCATCTGTCCTGGAAGCATGTCAGCTGCTTTCAGCGCGAATGTGGCTAAGCCCTGCGGCAATGCGTCTCCAGTGTCGCCGATTCTGACAAACTCACAATGAAAGGTGCAGAAGGATGCAGATATGGAATCACTTCCTTCTACATGAAGACATAGAGAGTCAAAGCTGCAGGACACCCCTGGTCTCCATTCATGCTCGCACCCTGGCGTTTGTAGCAACCGTGTCAAATTCGAGGCCTCCTCAACCGGCCACCGCAGCTCGGCAAGTCCAGCACCGAAGAAGGGGCAGAAACCCTGTCGGATCTCGTAGGAAGCGCGTTAAAACGCTTTACAGCTTGACTCTGACATCGACCTTACATACATCTTCACCTACAGCTGCATGGCAAGTTGGAGGAAAATCTTGTCAGTCTTCAACTTTCGGCTCGGTATCTGTATCTGAGTTGGTTGTACGTTGGCTGATGGAATTTCGCCGGTTTCCATTCTTGGCAAGAACCAAGCCAGCAGCTGCGGCAACTTCGCGAGTTTAGTCAATCCTTACAGCTGATCCCTGCTGCTGCAGCATGGATAGGTTGCGCATTTTCGGACTTAAAGCAAGCATCGAATCTTCATGAAGCTAAACTGCCACGAAGACCTTCGCTCGCGCATTAAAAAGGTATGGTTGCTGTCCCTGTCGCTGCAGTGGATCCAGATGTCAAGCCACAACCCTGCAAGAGTGACTACTTACTAGTTAGTTTGTACCCATACATGCCGGATCTTGATACTGCCATCAACCGGAACGAGCGTGTCATTACCTTCCGAGTGTCACCACGCACCAAGCCTGGAGAGGACGAGTCTTGGATGCTACCAGTATCTTGTAATCGCATTGTAATGCTTCCATGTCCGGAGTTACCTGCCAACAGTCTTGGTGGCTGCTCAGATGGAGAAGACTGTCTGCAACTTAAGCAGATCGGAAAACTAGGCTTATGCGGCCAACAACTCCTTCTCGGCAGAGGAGTACCTGCTTGAAATGCTGTCCGCTGTCGCAGGTCAGTCAAGATTCGAAGACCGAAAACCTTGCATAGTTCAGACCTTCCTCGAGCGACTCTGCCCTCGTTTCGGCGCACTCCTCTGATGCTCCACGGTATGTCTGCGATTCCTCTACGAAGTACAGGACGTTCTCCTGAGAACTCAAAACGAAGAGACGGACATCAGAAGTCTCTTCTGGCCTCAGGAGTACCCTGAAGGACTCCGTGCCCGAGGTTCAGGATGTGCCTAGCGAGACTTCTCGAAAGACTCGGCACTCTGCCCATTTTTATTTACATCTCCAGCCTTCCAGGGCCTCCGACTGCATCGATCGACTTGCGGACTGCCTGAGCTTCCGGGCGAGGCAGAACAGCTGACGCGAACAGGCTCATGGCCTCTCGGACTTCCGACTCGCTGCCGTATCGCAGGATGTAGGGATCAACCTTGCAAGACAATGGCATTAGCCGGGCAACAAAACTGAAGAAGTGCGAGAACAACCTGTGCACGGCCAGTTGACGTAAGGGGGCAACACCCCACAAGCCCGTCACAACCCGCAAAGCTTGTCTTGATGAAGCCCGGGCTGAGAAATGCCAAGCGGAGGGTCAGCACCAGGGAGAGCACGAGAATCAGCATGGGCCGCATGGGCATCGGAGCGGCAGTGGCACCAGCACCAGCACCAGCACCCGCACCCGCACCAGCACCAGCACCAGCACCACCAAGAAAGATGTACAGAGCTAGATGACATCTCCACACATGAACCGCGCTAGGTCTGGCACATTCCCTTGCAGGATGAGCCCTGTGCCGTCTACCTCGGCGCCGTCCAAACAGCAAAGACAAACTGCAAGCTACTTACTGAGCATTCCCGTCGTTTGCCTAGCAATAAGGCAGATAAGAAACGATCAGCTTCAGGGTTAAAGACATGCAGCCTCTATCGATGCAGCGAGGTGCGATCTTTGCGGCCTCCTCCAAGCGCATGTGCCTGTAGCATCCGTATGCACCGTGTAAGCTTGCCAAGCCATAGTGATTCCTTCCACTCGGATGCTGTCTAGCGGCCCGTCAACACCAAGGACATCTATGTGCTCAGCCAGTTCTGTGACCTGAGCAAGGCTGTACGACATGAAACAGCCAGATCAGCCTGTTCAGGACTTGCCGTGATCTCGCCTGATCCTGCAAAAAGGATGAGCCCCCGTTGGCAAAGTAGATAATCGGCACATCCGGACAAGCCTTGCCATTGGCAGCATTGGCACAGGTCATGATCATCAAGCTCTGCGGCCCATGTTGCCTGCCGCAAGGTAGCCGCCACCTGAACGGCTGGAAACACTGCTGACTCTGCTCCAAGCGTCCAAGGGACGGAGAAGCGACGACGAGCCTCTTTCACACAGGGCGCAGCAAACCGTCTCCAGAGCTCGGGTGTGAGGCAATGGGCCCACGACCTTTCAGCAACGACACACCGGCAATCTGAGAAAAGCAAGTGTTTGGAGAAGTCTGAGCCGTTCGCTCGAAGATCTGGATGCACTGCGCCCCACTTTCCACCTTCAAGCTACAGCCTTCAGTCCCTCTGATCTTCAAGGTGTTTCACTCCCACCTGATAGATGGCATAATTGCTGATCGTTACGGTCATCCGGCGGAGGAATTCGTCCACAACCTGTCAAACATTGTGATTTGCATGATTGTCGACGAAATCCTGCACCACCAAGTCTCACTAGCACACTCCCGGCCACGCTCTTTTTCTGCGGCTTCTGCAAACAGCTCTAGTAGCTAAAGACGTGGATTATCAGGTCACCCCAGCCAAGTTGAGCGCTGACAGGAGGGCCGATACTCACACCCTCCAGGTGTTTCCCCAAGACCGTTCCCCAATTCGTTTTGGGAAGCGTGCGATTGTAATCCATGTCCAATTGCCAAGTGATGCATGATGCCATCGAGAAGTCATCATCGTTGTAGCATGCCCAGGCAGCCGACTCGACGTACTTAATCGCTTCGTCCGAGAGCCCCTTTTTGGAGCCCCAGCGCGGACGCCCCTCTGGATGCGACTTGTTTGCCATCTTCTCCTGCAACTCCTCGAGCTTTGGCCAAGAGATGCCTTCGCGGATGTCATTGTCTGAGCTCTTGTGGTCACGCAGAGCTGAGCAGCTGGATAACAGGAGCATCGCCACAAGGATATGCATGGCGCCAAGAAGTATGAAGCTTTGCTCAAGTACACAGACGACGGGCTAGCCAACTCCCAAATGCAAGCAAAACGGCTATGGGACAGAACGGCTGCGGATGGAGGCGGAATCAAAAATGACCGTGCCGAATATGGTCAGGCTTAGAGCCAGAGGTGCAGAGGGAAGACAGTGGGGCAGCATGGCAGAGTACTCTCTCTGCGCCATTCTTAGAATCAAAACAGCTACAACAACAACAGAAAAGTAAGACGAAACTCTGTTTTCTCTCATGAAGTGAAGGGAAATCTGGGGGGGAGGTGTTTGCTGATCCTTAGCTGATCATCTTTGAAGATGATAAGTGATGGATAAGCTGAGGATAAGCTATGGATAAGAAGGGAAACGAATAAACCATAGGATAAGCATGGAGTCCAGGATGGTTGTCGACAAGGGCAATGCAGGGGCAGTTAGGGATAAGGGGCTAGCGGAAGCAGTGCTTCAGATTGTGTTGGGGTACAAGAAATTGCAAGAACCAAGTTTTCGTAGCTGCTGCAAACGGGACTTGATTCAGTTCAGACCCCTTCAACTCACGGCATGCGACGCGGATCGTCGTTCAACGCCCCCGAAGAAGCCCACCCACGTTCGTGATGCCCGGTTATCCCAGGCTTATCCTGGGCTTATCCCGACAAACGACCCGCAGAATCCCACCGCACCTTCGTGATTTCCGCTTATCCTCTGCTTATCCTCGGCTTATCCTCGGCTTATCCCGTACCTTCGTGATTCCGGCTTATCCTAGGCTTGCCCTCGGCGTATCCTGGCCTTACCCTCGGCCAATTCCCTAAAAAACCCGGCTTATCCCCACGGGAGACCGCAAGCATTCAACGAGCGAAAACCGACGTTTGAACTCTACACCTCCAAAGTTTCGGCATATGCCGTGAATGTGACCGTTGGTCTGATGGGAAGGATTGTTTGTGGCCCAGGTTCGCGCAAGCTCAATAATCCTTTGTTAGATACTTCCATCATTGAGCGGTGTTGGATAAGCCGAAATCCTAAACTTATTGAAAGCTCATCCGCTACTTCTCCGATAAGCCTAGCGAATAAGCGATTGATAGAGGCTTATCCTATGCTTATCCCTAGCTATCCAATGCTTATCCAACCTAGGCTTATTCACGCTTCTCGGATAAGCAAAGGCTCCTCCCCCGACACCCCTCCCCAACCTCATGATTCTCCCCCAACATGATGCCCACAAGGAGCTGCGGTTGCGGCGTCAATTCAATGCTTTGTCACATCTAGCTCCATGCCGTGGTCGTTTCTTGGAGCCCTCTCAACTCCAAAACTGTGTAAAGAAAATACGTGCAGATCAAAGTGCTGCTGAGTCATGAAAGAACTCACAACGAATCGCCATGTTCACTGCATGAGGCAACCCCCAACACTACACTTGAGAACAGGCCACGCAAGCTAGCGGCAGCACGGATACAAGCACATATGTATTGCCATGAGGCTTCAACCTGCAAGATGATCGCGTTCTTCTGCTTTACACTGGCCCGCATGCAGACACACCCCTGTCGCACTGTACGTACGAGTAGTACCTTGACCGACCTCATTGACTTCCGGAATGTCCCTGCATAAGCAATAACTCGGCCATCTACGAGCTGCCCCGAGCTGTCCTAATGGCAGCTTAGCTAGGTACTGAAGCAGCAGACGTGGACGCACTCGGCCGCATAAAGACAAAATGCAAGTTGCCATGTTGCGTAAACAGATGGACCTGAAGGTGGGGGGGAAGGGGGTAATCAAAGGAGAAGCGGGGGGTGGAGGGCCCTACTACCTAAGTAACCTAGTGACCTAGTGAATGGTAAACGACAACTCCCCAAGCTGCACATAGCTAGCTTTCGTGAATTTGCCGCTTCACATGTCGCTTTATGCGCTTACTTCATGCGCCATCATGTCAAGACCGTCAGAGGAGGGCCGCAGAAAGATGAGAAAGAGTAATCCCTTCAGAGGATGCCCTGAAAATGCCGGGCCTCGGGTTTGCTGAACATCCACTTCTTGAAGACGGCCGCTTCTTTGGTGCCACCTGCCTGGAAAAGTATCGAAGGCCGTGCAAGATGAGAGCCGACTGAGCGGTCTTTATCATTCGACAAATCAGCTCGCTGACTGATCTGCTGGACTACGCACCTCGACTGCATAGGCAGCCAATGTCCAGGGCGCTCCGACAAAGCCTTCGCCAATTGCATGACAGGTGCGTTTATGCATCATGCTTCTCCGCAGGTTACAGCTTGCAGGGTACCTAGCAAGCTGCACTTCTTCTCCGTTTCGCTCCTCAGCGCCTTCCAAACAGAGCACATGCGTGCTCGGGACGGTGCAAAGTAGGCCTAATCTCTCGCGGAGTTTGGTACAACGTGCCAAGCTTCCCATCCTGCGAAATCCTGCCTGAAGCGTCTCTTTCAAAAAGCCGTGGCTGTCTTTGAAGCCCTCGTGGCTCGAGACTTCCCTGCACAGACTGCGAATCTGAGTGGAAGAAGCTATTACCCTCCCCCCAAGCAAGTCCTGATCTGGCCGGGGCCGTCTTGCAGGCGGTCCTGCGAAGTCAATTCCAAGCTCAGAAAGCCCGGCAGCTACCCAGCCTGCGATGCAGCAACCGTCCTCCAGGGTGCGCGCCAGGTCACCAAGCACGATGGGCCCTCGTCCACGCACGACATCGAAGCTAATGCCCATAGCTGGCAAGGGCGTCAAAATGTCCGAGAAGACCTCCAAGGATGCTAGGTCACCACAGGTGCATGTCTTGGCCATACATTCTTCCCCAAAATTCCGGCAAGCGGCAATGACTCCATCCATGCCGTACCTAGGCACGGAAGGCCCGGAGGCCCTGGATACATCGCGATGCCAACATCTGCATCTTCAACTTGGGCAACAGCTGTCTCCAGCACTGGAGCGAGAGTTCGATGGCCATGTCCGGCGTCTCCGAGCGCTGCCTAACACGGAACATGCGACACATCTCACCAGAAGGCAAGAGTTTCAGTCTGAGTTCGGCCCCCGGCCTAAATGGATATCTCTCCGAGTACTTCCGAAAGGCTTTCATGTACCGCCCGGCTTGCCGCATTAGCCACACGGGTGTGTGCTCCCCTGTCTCGCCCCGCGCCACGCGCAGCAGCAGGTCATGGGGGGCTGGGGTTCCCCTCGTCCCGAGCTCTGCCGGTCTTGGCAGAGTGCGCACATTGCGAGCACCACCTCGCTGCCGGTCACGACGGCAGAGTGTCGCAGCGCAGAGGCTCGCAGCAGCACCCAGCACGATACCAGAGGAATCGCGGGGAAGTTCGGGCTTTGTGGACCTCGTCCTCTGAATGCGAGGAGCTCGGGCAACAGGCAGGGACGGGGTTGCCGCCACAAACCCGAGGCTGCCCTCGGCCATGGCGTGCGAATCTCTGGCACCCTACAGTCTCTGAGCAATGCTACGAGTCCGACAAGCCAGCCCGAGCACGGCAAGGGTTGCAGAGGCTTCACAGAAGCAACTACAAACACACAGCACTCCACAGCTCCGGCAAGGTCGCTGTGGCGCACCTGAAGTCGCGTTCGAGGGCACCTCAAAGCAGGGGTCATCCCGGTCTTCTTGGGGCACGGTTCCGGCTGCGGCCCTGGCCGGGAGCGGCTCGGCGAAGTTGGACTGCAAGCCTTGGCCGAATTTCAGGTGTTAGCCTTGCGGCTGAGGTGAGAGCGGTGCTGCTAAGGTCCCGGCGTCTCGCCACCTCGCTGAAGACAGCCTCGAAGTCCTTCAGCGTCGGCCCAGTCGGCTCTGTACAGATGGCATGTCAACGCGGCACGACCTCGCCGCGGTGACTGGCGTTGCCGCCGCTAGGCGCCTTGTGAAGACAACTCGGGGCTTCAATTCAATCTTCTGTTCAGACGTTGCTGTTGCAGATCGGTTGTTAGGAACAGCAGCGCTCCACCAATGCCAAAGCAAGACCTCATCCCTCCGAGTTCCCAAGAGGCCATGACGCTGAGGTTGCTCGGTGTGCGGATGATCGGCTCAACGTTTCCGAGGAACTGGCGAATGTTCCTGCTACGTGAGGCTGAAACAGGAAGAAAGAGTGTGCTGAAGGCTTACAGCTTCGTAACATTCCATCTATCTGAACGATCTCTTGAATCTCCTTGTTTGGAGGCAGAATGACTGCAAGCCAGGGTGGAAGATGAGTAGCTGAGCACGGGGTGTGCACTCACCGACGCGAGCATCAGGCTGTCCCTGGTGGCATCCACTGCGCAATCTGCGACTGGTGGGATTCCATGTGAGACCTTGCACCCGGTTGCTGGGAAGTCGTTGAGGCTCTGCTTACTTTGCATTTCGTTGGTGACACCTGGTGAAACGATCTGAAACACTGGCGTTGGGCACAACAAACCTTTGGAGACGGGACTCCTGCAAGTATGCTGCAATGCCATGACCCTAATCTGCCGCAGCAGTTCGTGGGGCCTCTTGACATCGACCCCGTACCGAATTGTACCAAGGTGCTGGTCCCGGCGCAGGAGCGGATGCTCCTGAGGTGCATCCATCTCGCCCGGCTCAGCCCAGCCAACACTGCCCGCCTGGAGCTTCCAAACCCTTCTATGATCGATTCTACTACGGTCAGCATGAAGGTTTCTTTCTTTAGTGTGGTGATGAGACATTCGAACGGCCAACCAGCTAGCCCGGGCAGTGGCAACTAGTGGGCAGCCACGAACTTGGGGACCAGCTGCAGCTGCGACTCGCAGTCCTGCACAGGTTTGTACTGGGTCGGATCGAATCGCTGCAGAATCGCATACAACACCTACAAGTACCTACACACCTACAAGCTTCACCACACGCATGGCTGCCTGGAGGTGGTGGCATCTGCATGCGCCGGAACCTGGGCATCGAAAGCGAACAAGGCAAAGATCCTTGCAGCCAGCTACTTCAGTTAATTGCGAAGACCGCTGGGACTGCCCAGCACGTTGCGGCTGTCCCCCCAATCCCATCTCAGTTGACGGCTGGCCACCCCTGTGAACTCCATGGATGACCTGAGCAGGGCGCGGCAAGACGAAGGGTTGACTCTGAACCCATGCACCCAGACTATGAAAGCTTGAAAATGCCAAGCTGTATGTGCGAATGTTGGGCAACAGGGCAGAACAACGTGCGAGATGCCACATCGCATAATCAAGAAGCACGGACATTGCTATGTGGCAACATCTCAGCAAAATTGCTGCTCGGCTCATGTCATCTCTAGGCCAGCTGCGCCAGCCTCACCCAGGTCGATGTCTACCTTAGCAGTTGGGCAAAAAATCCGAGGTCAGGCCCACACGGTCTTGCTTGACTTTGCTCACAAGCTCCGGGCCCGAAAAGTCATGCTTTCGCCATCCATCCCAGGGTTTTCCTGGTCGAACCTTGGGGTCTGCGCTCCGCTCACTCTCTGTGAGCATGAGCATGATTGCTCTTGCTGGGCTTGAGGACGGTGGCTGTGAAAATGTGGCTTTGGCCCAAGTTCGGGGGTGGTAGACAAGGTGAGTGCGTGGGTGGGTGAGAAGGGTAGGTGCGTGGTGACTGGTGAGGCGGTTACAGAACTTTTTTGGGCGGTGGCTTTGGAGGATCTCGCTGGCCGTGACCTCTCGCTCTCTTCTCTTTCTTCAACAGGTGTCCTTTCTCGTCCTTCTTCGCTCTAGCATGTCGGATGGCAAAGCACTCAAGATGCGAACACAGCCTTTCTCGACCCATCTTCCTCACGGAAAGCAGAAGTCTGGTCCCCAAAGCGCAGCCGCAGATGACATGTCTGCAACGTCTGCGTGCCGAGCACTTGGATGGCGTTTTGCAAGACCTCGTGTCCAGCTGCAGCAAGTGACACTCTCCATGCTAGGACCGGGAGAGTCAAGCGAGATGTAAGGCTCACGGGAACTAATTTCTGGAAAGCGCGCAGAGTCAGAGAAATCATCTGTAACACATGAATCAGCTTCTGTTTTCAAACTCAGGGGCGACCTGGTCATCTTACTGTTGCAGGGAGGAGTTCCATCCAAGTGGCACTGGCAATCCCCTGGCCGCCGTCAAAGTCGCCATCCATGTCACCGTCGTACTCCTGCTAGACTCACATTCCAGCTATGCCAATCCTCCTCAGCCCCAAGCCCCGCCTGCGCAGGATATCCCACTCGAGTGAAGTAAATTGAACCGCATATCCCGAACCGCCACGGCATCACACCGTCGTGGTTTCCCCCGAATCTTTACAGCATCAGCTGCTGGTACTGAGTTCTGGCACTAAGCTAGGAGGCTTGGCCCTGGGCCTCCTCGTTCTCATCGTATCCTTCGTCCTCATCCTCGTCGCCTTCGTCCTATCGCTGCGCTGCGGTTCGACTGCAGCTAGGAAGAGTCTGTCTTTGCGAAGCTTGGGCTCTGCCCTGCCCGGTCCCCTCTCCTCGCCATCGTGCCCGTGATGCTCAGCCTCCTGCAAGCACCCAAGAAATCCCAAGACACGACAGTCAGATCTCGCTGCAACACCCCGTGACCTCACCATCTGCATCCATCTGATCCATCTCTCCGCCTCGACTCGCAGGCGCGCTTGCTCTCTGCAGGCTATTGGGGAGGAGCCTGCCTTCCTCGTCTTCGTCTTCATCCTTCAAACGGTGGGAAATTTAGATCTGCACTTGAAGCGAGCCTTGCTGACTCTGACCACTCAAACTGCACAGCCAAACTCCCCGCCTCCTCGAGGGCTTCGTCACCTCCTTCTCCCATCTCCTCATCGTCATCCTCTTCCTGCTATCAGCTGCCCAAGTATCATGTGCCAGCACACCTTCGACTCCGAAAAAGTGTATGTCGAACTCAGCCACGTCAACAGCGAAGACTGCAGTGTTGAACTCCTGGTTCTTGTTGTGCTCTGAACCCCTACTTTCGAACGCTCCAACTAACATGTGCAGTTACACCTACCTTCAGTTCCACCTTCACTGCCCCAATAATGGTATCATGGTAAACAGAACCGAAACCGCTGCTCGGCAGACATATGCACAGGCATTGACAGCACCACTTGTGCGACCTTTCAACAAGCATCCCTCTGCAATGAGAGCTCCGAACAGGGAACGGGCGCGCGTGTGCAGAAGTCCTAGGTGCTAGCTGGGATTACCGTCATGGTTCGGCGACAAGGTTCTGACACTCGGCGGTTCGGAACACTTGGGGCTCCAACGAGAACACTTCGACACCCGCAAGGCATGAGCATTACTTCAAATGTTCCAGCTACATCCGAGATGTTGTAGCGTGCTGTGGCCTGACAGCAGGACTGCAGATGAAGTCTTGTTCGGGCTGCATTTCGATGCTGCCTGCTTTTTGTAAATCTAATTTTTTTTCTAGAGTGACGGTGAAGCCCCACATACCATGAAGCTCAAGACTCCACATGTGCATTTGCCTCCTCGTCATCCTCAACAGCCGCGATCTCTACGGCCTCCTTTTCCAGCAAGCACTACTTCGTGATAACAGAACCCTCCTCACCGCCAGAAAACACACAGATCCCACTGCACGGCGCCTGAAAACACGGCTGCCAAGTTCAAGGTTTGCTGACATTGCCCAGCCCGGCTGCCGATTACACTGTTCAGCAGGTTCTCTGCACCTCGTCCCCGGGTCGAAGCTCCTCTCGTCTAAGCGCCTCTCTGCATGTAGCGGCCCGCTAGTTTACGGATGCTGCAGAAGGCAGTAGAGGGGGAAAAAGAAGCAGAAGGAACGCAGAAGGAAAGAAGAAGGCGCTGATTTATCCTTTGCTGTTGGTGGCCTCGTCTACGTGAGCTTCCATGCCAATGACGTGGAAGACCCTGGCCACGAGAAGTTGTGGCAAAGCACTCGAGGCTCAACATCTTCGTGATATCATATTGTCTTCCCGACTGGTTCGACTGATGGACAAGCTGGCACCTTTTTGCTTCAGTGAAACATAGAAGAGCAGAGAACGGCAGGGGTCTCTCACCGCCTAGCGGGCTCGAACCAGTTGCTTAGAACCACAGTGACTCAGTGAGAGGCCCTGGCCCCGGTCGCTGCCAACGACCCTCTCGTTCGCGGCAGCATTCCATCTAATTCAATTCCACGGAGCTGTGGCTCTGACTCTAAACCCGTCTTGAGAATTGGGTTTTGAAGAATTCTCAGCCCATCAATCAACCACAGCCCCAGAATATTCGGGCGGGGCTGCCACCTAAAGGCAGAACCACCACAAGAGAAGCAAAAGTGGCGCAAGTGTCAGCAGTATTGCGCAGATGCTGAAACCAAACGAAACAGACTTCCTCCTCGACGATCATACTGCTGCCGGCTGATACTCGCACAAAATGGTCTGAAGCCCCGTGTGCTACCGCAGCGGCAAGGCGGTTGCCTACAACTGCACTGCCGCATCAAAGCATGGAGCTCACGAGTCAAAGAGCTTGCCTCCGTCGAATTACACTAAAGTCTCGAGTCCGAACCGGGCAGGGACGCGATAGCTCAAAGTGCTACTGGAGCAACAGACACAGCTGCAAACGTGTGCACATCCCCTCGTTCTTTGCACTGCCAAGTGGCGCTCGAAACTGTGGAGGCCGTGGACGCCTCCTTCCCTCTGAGCTGCGGCTGAACGCAGCTCGAAGCGCAGCTGACCCTCCTGAGGACACATAGTCGGGTTTCGATGGCCAACCCTGCAGTGGCCCAACAAAGGTTAGCAAACCGCTTCGTCTGCACACGAGCGAGAGAAGTCTCTGAAGCTTGAAGAGCAGCTGTGTGTGGCGAAAATGCCGCTACATGGGTCGAATCAGCTTTTCTTGTAACCCTTGGTAGCCTGAGCAAGAAAGATGTCACACCGGCAGCGATCTGCTGCCGGTAAAGCTCCAGACAACAGGGGGCGGGCTGTTGAAGTAAATTCATGCCGATCCCGCCCGTGTGCCCCTCACCGGCTGTGCAGAGCTGCGCGACATCCGGCCGTGACCAGATAACAAGCGACCCGGAATATGTGCGCAAATTGCACTCACTAACTTCCATTGCAGCTAAATTTGTAGTCAGACACGCAATGATCACACTAAGGCACAAGGGCATTTCGTCAGGCAACAACATGTCTGGCCTGCAGCATCGCCTGCAGCTGGTCAACGCTCTTGGCGCCAATGTCCTGCAGCCATCAATGGACACCAAAGGCTCAAGTGCCGTGCTCTGCCCAACTGACGCCAGATGTCACTTCTCATGCATGCACATCGGTTGCAGGGATCGTCCTGCATTCCGTGTCTGATGCCCTGAGTGAGATACGGGATGTATCTGTGGATGCTGCCTTTGTCCTGGACCGTGCCGGAGACACCCTCGCAGAGGCAGGGTCTTGCACGGTCTTGCCGAGACATGGGCTGATCACTGATCTCTCCAGCCACAGTGTTCATAGTTCATGCATTGTGCATATGTAAGCCGCCCTTCACCGGCTGGTGAAATCTGAAGCAAACCAATCCCGCCCTGCCTGGGCCACCTTGATGCTTGAGGTTGTGCCAAAGTACCGGTCGTCGGAGCCCTGATGTACGGCACCATGCGTGTCTCGTCTGGGCCCAAGGCGATTGTGGCTGCGGCCTTCTTCATGGCGTCGATGGAGCCCATTCCGCGGTAACGCTTCAGCCGCTTGCCGTCCTCTGAGTAGAAGTACTCTCCAGGCGTCTCCGCGGTTCCTCTGCGAGGACTCCAACCGTCACCCTTCTGTGAACATGCACTCGCGCAGCTCTCAGCTCGATCCTGCGAGCAGGCTCCCGCACATTGCCGCACCGGCGCCGAGGCTCAGGGCCTCACCAGGCACGAGACGCTCAAAGCTCCATGAAGCGGCCGTTACCGTCGGTCTGCGAGTCTGTGCCTTCACGATGTGACCCGGGCTGGAGATGCCGCCTGAGACGTTCGACGCAACAATCAAAGCATCCGCTGCGAAGCTGAAAGGGCGTGTCAGGCCCTTTGGGCGGAGGCTCCTTCTTTCGCCAGGACTAGGGGTAAGAGGAGCAACCCCTCCTCGGAGGCTCTCTCCCTCTCGCTCTCGCTCTCTATAGATTCAACCCTTCTCCTGGGCTGGAGTGGACCTCTGAACCCCAGCCGCCACAAAATTCTTGCCGGCTCACCATCTGCCAGAATGGGCACGCCGTACATCCTGGCAAGCTTAGCCACGTTGTAGACGGCAGAGGCCTCGCAGAAAAGTACCGTGGCGGCAGCAAGCGTCCAGTTTCTTTTGCAAAAGTCCGCGGATCCGCCAGCCTGTGCCCGGCCGCAAGCGCAGACTTCCTGCGTGGTGCAGATGGAACCGATGCCCATACCTCGGCAGCGCAAAACAGCTACAGGAGTCCGACCGCTATGCATTTTCTTGCGGCATGAGCGCCCACGCGGAGGGCGTCGGCCCCGCATTCGATGAGGTTCTTGGCCTGCCGCTTCGTGACCACATTGCCGGCGACCACCTGTCCAAACAGGAAGGAAGCAGCCACTGCTACGTTTTCACCTGAACACACCCTCACAGAGCTCTCGTGGTGTCTCCACCTGCAAGTCTGGGAAGTTGCTCTTGATCCACTTGATCATTTCGTGCTGGAACAAGCTGTCGCCCTGGCTACTGTCGATGACGACAGCATCCACACCTGGGCCCAAGGCTTCAGGTTAGCAAACAAAATTTATGGGAGTCATGCTTTTGCTGTTCGAGGCAAGGTGCCAGCAGCCACGAGCGCTCGGACACGCTCCTTGTCGTTGGGCCGGGTGCCAATGGCAGCAGCGACCAGGAGGCCCTTGTTCACTGCTTCCTGCAGCCACTCTAAAGTCAAGCAAAGGCTTTCGGCTTGCAACTAGAAGCTAGCAGATCTCTACAGTTGCATCGACAAACTTCCGCGCACCTTTGTCGCGTTGGGAAACTCGACATTCTTCTTGATGTCCGTTCGGGAGACCATGGCTATCAGCAGGCCCGACTGGGTGATGATCGGAAGCTTGCCCTTCTTTGACTTTTGCAGAAGGGCATTGGCTTCCAAGAGGTCACAGCCTTCCCGCATGGTCACCAAGTCCTTTGCTGGTGTCATGATGGCGCTGAGCCGAGTCTTGCGGTCCTGCCAAGTGCTGGTGCTTGGCAAAGACATCAATCAGACTAGGACACGACGCTGTGACAGAAGCTGGGTAGACAGACAGTCAGCCAGGCAGGCAGAGGGAAAAATGTAGACATACGCGGGGGCCGCGAAGTTCGGGGGAAATGCTGAAGCCCACTTAAAAACGCACTTCCGGGGCATCTTCTGATCGCAAGTCATACCAGGGGCTGACGATCGGGCGGGAACAAGTGCTGAGAGGAACTGGAAGAGCAGTCCCCGATGAAGTCGGTGTCGCGCTTTGTCACCAAGCCGAGGAGTTTGGCACCCATCTGTCCGTTCTCCGTGACCGGGAATCCGGTGAAGCCTAAAGCAGCCACTGCAAACCAGCCATACCAGGAGCAAGCACTATAATCGCGGCACTAAGTACAATGACAAACAAAAAATTGCGAAGATTACCAACACTACGTAGCACTAGCCCTGTGTAAAAACAGGAAGGACAATATTCTGGCAACAATCCACGCACTACCAGTAATAAGCCAAAGAAGAAATAAGTAAGGTTTGCGATCACATGCGAGTAGCAGTAGCCGTAAAGGCAATAACCGTCCCATATGTTCATAGGAGATGCATCAGAACAGCAACAAGAACAAGAACATTCAACCGCAACCCCAACCCAACCCCTGTCCCAATCCTACCCCACACCGCAACCAACTGCAACACCAACATCGACACCACCGACACCACCGCCACCACCTACAAGAACCACCCTGATCGTTGTCATTGTCACTACTATCAACATTATTCATCATACTCGTTCTTGTTCAGCAACATTGTCATTTTCATTGTTATCAATGTTATCACCGTAAGTATCGTCATCGCCATTGTTATCTTCGGCAGTAACAATCAACATAGGCAAGAGAGCATCAATATCATCAACATCAGAATCATCGCCACCTGCGCATGTAGCAGCCGTATTTTCGCATATCAGACAATCCGCGTTCGCGTGGACATCATCATCCCCCCCCCCCCATCCCTACCAAGGCACAACAACAGAAACACAACAAACAAACCGCATTCGCGCGCAGGTCATCCACCCCCCCATCCCTCCCCCCTCCCCACAAATGAAAAACAAGAGTCAAAAAATCCGCATTCGCATGGACGTCATCATCCCCCCCCTCCCCAATTTTGCACGGATCTCAAATACACATGGAAGTCCAAGCGGGCATGTGCGAAAAGTCGAGGCTCGGCACAGTGCTGACCGGAAGTATTGCGAAAACACCGGAAAAACCGTTGCAAAATGCGCAAAGTATAGGAAAACATCGCAAAAAACTATACAAAAGGGATTGCAACAACGTGCCAAAACTCGAGTTTTAGCACATGCCAGCCCCGAAGTTGCTCCACCTTGCGCGGTGGCAGACGCACGTGCTGCCAATAACAACAACAACAACAACAGCAACAACAACAACAACAACAACAACAACAGCAGCAGCGGAGTAATAGGAATAGCAACAGCAACAGCCCCAGCACCAGGACAAGCACCAGCAGCAGCAGCAGCAGCAACAACAACAACAACAACAACAATCAGGACGACGACGACATTTGAGATTCATGACAACCAGCCATTGCAAGAAAGCCACATGAGCCACGGTCGAAGTTACTGGCTTGGCGAAGGGACATTGATCTTGGGGTTATCGTTTATTGTGGATCCCCTATCTTTCTGCAGATCAAAACCCATGTCGGGATGCTCCTGGCTGGGTTGTGCTCGCTTGTAGTACAACTTTAGTACTGGAAATGCCTCGTTTCGGCTCCTGGCTGGATTGTGCCTGCTTGTAGTAGCAAGTCAGTACTGGAAATGACTCGTGTCGGCTCCTGGCTGGATTTGTGCTTGCTTGTAGTACAACTTTAGTACTGGAAATGGATCTTTTCGGCTCCTGGCAGAATTTTGCGCGCTTGTAGCATAACTTTAGTACTGGAACTTGTAATATAAGTTTGGTACTGGAAATGCCTCGTTTCGGCTCTCACGCACGTTATCGTTTTTTTGTGGATCCCCAATCGTTCTGCAGATCAAACCTCGATTTATCTTTATCTCAGGTCCGATTAAATCTACTCTTCCATAATTTTGACGGGCGCTCACATGAAGTTACACACATAGTACTGCAAGTGGCCGAGATGCCGTGCTTGGTCTTGAGCACATCCAACTCATCTAAGGTCATGGTAGGCAGAACACACACCTGGGCGACAAAAACATCCAGCCCCTGCCGAGCCTTCAAAAACGTCCTTGTTGCTGAGGCGCGGGGTCCAGGATGAAGCCGGCCTTGTATTTCTTTACCCGCGAGACTTCCCTCGCCTGGTCCTCGATGGGCATGTTCGTGTGGATAACACCAATGCCGCCTGCGAGTAAGGCCCCAAAGCTGGGGATACGGGCGGAAGGAAGGGGAAAACCTGACACCCGGCCTTCTAATGCCATGGCGATGGCCATGTTGGACTCTGTCACTGTGTCCATCGGGCTGGACACGATGGGCGTCCGCAAGGAGATGCGCTTCGTGAACCGGGACCCCAAGCAAACATCCTGAAGTGCTCGCGTCTCTGCTTGCAGGCTGGCTATGGATCTTCTTGGGACTGCAATGTCTACACCATCTGTAACTAAGAAGAGTTCGTGCACTCCGAAGTTGATATGCCCAGGCAGGCAGATGAGGTCGTCGTACGTATAGCCACTCATGGCCGTTTTGGAACCAAAGACTTGAGCTGCAGAAAACCCATCCTTCGTTGCACACTGTGTCTATGCTTCCGGTAGGGGCAACGTCAGAAGCACAATTTAGAAACTTCAGCAAGGACTCTTGCAGGTCTTCTTCGGAGAGCTGCGGCTTGACAGGATCCGTTTTCCTGAAAAGCCGCATTCGCTGGGAAATGATTACGGTACATGGGGCAAGCGTCGCATCCCGGATGCGAGCCGAGTCTCAACTCCTTCTTGGGGGAGCGGCTTCGCTCCTCTGACAGAGCTAAGCATTTCATCCGTTATGCCAAAGAGAGGCGAGATCAGATCAACATGCAACGAGATGTCCTTCACAGGACTGGCGCCATTTGCAATGCCGACCATCTTTCCAGACTGGAGCTGCGGCTGCGGCTTGAGCTGTTCGGCGGGGCGATAGTGTGACGCTTCCATTCAAGTGATCCCTGGCCCGCTAGTCTTGGCAACGCATGTCTGGCTCGCGCATCGCACGCCGGCTGGGCTTGCTGCGTGAACGTACAAACAACCGCACCGCCCAATGTGAAAGATGCAGATTCAATGCAGGTCAAGTCCTGTGCGGGCCTCGCGGCCCGTTCAGAATCCAGCGACTCACTGCGCAGCATCTCGGGACCCTTAGCTGCCAGACATGTTGCTCGTCATTCGTACGAGCTTCTGCAGTGTAGAACCCTGATCCATTAACTCCTGCCTACATGCTCCGAGATCAGCATGGCATGCCTCTGCCGCCCATCTCCGCCCTATACCTAGCTTTGGCTCGAGCTCCAGGAGAAGCATCTGTTCGCCGAGGGTCGGTTCCTGTCACGATTTCATGCTCAGTGAGCGAGGGATGCAGCAGTTGCCGTACTGTCCTGTCTGAATCTCCCGGCGAGACAGCAGCTCCAGGCACCTTCGCTCAGACCGCCCGTTCTCAGTTTCTTGACATACCAAGGCCCTGCAGTCCCCGCCTGACCACTGCACCCGCAACCTGCGACGATTCGCTTCGCTGGAGATCCAAGCCTCGGAGTCGAAACTCGAATGCCAAAGTGCCAGCAGCTAAAGCCAGAGCAGGAAAAACGAAGCGAGGCGGACGGCAGATCAAAAGCTACACCCTATAGCTGCACAAACAGTTGATAGCGAGGTCTTCTTTGTTTCGAGGCTGGCGACGTGCCAGGACGGCCACGAACGCGTCCCGAAGAACCTGTCGACCGTAGTGCTCTCACTTGCACAATGCCAAGCTGATGACATCTTTGCTTCACCCCCTGGCTGCGGGACGACGCCACAAGCTGAAGTGTTGCTTTATGGCCCTAAACACCCGGCAAAGCACGGCTGCCAGCCGAGCAGAGTCTGGTTGTTCATTCAACGCCCCACCTGGAGCTCCTCCTTGGCACTGAAAGGAACGGGATGGCGTGTCCGCGCCTCGTCAAACTGAAGCGTCTCCGTCTAAGTTCTCTAGGCTGAGAAACGGCCGAGGAGAAAAGGGCTCGAGGTCTGCGCCACGGAGATTTCAGTAAGTGTCCCCATGCCTACACATCTTATGGGGCGCTGGGCACATGGAAGAAGACGCCTGCGCCCCACAACCTCCCCTCCCCCACGTCTGTGGCTAAGCCTGCCCAGGCCCCAGGGCGGATCTCTGAAAAAAATCCTGGTGCTACCGGATAGGAGTGGCATTTCACACATGCTGCCCATGGCCTCAGATCTTGGTCAAAAGATGCCAAAACAACAACCGGCACGCAGTCTAACTGATGCGGGCACCTTCTTGGCAGGTGGGGCAGCCGCATTGCTTCCTGGCGAGGGCACTGCAGAAGCTAGGTTCCGAGAGTGCTTGGACATGAAACGCCCCAGCGTCGGACCTCCAGGATTATCCAGAGCTGCGAGTCGTGGGGAGGCTTTCTCCTCCAAGCGGTGTGCACGAGAATCTTGTCATGCTGCTGCGCCGAAGCCGAAGCTCCTGGGCCGCGGAGTTGCCAGGCGACTCCTTTTCCTCCTGCACATGCCATACGCTATCCGACAGTGTCTGTGCCCCTGGATATCACAGAGTTCGTTGATGTGAGGAGCATTGGCCTTCCGAGTCTTTAAGCAAACGACGCCGTCTTGCCTTGCGCTCCGCAGCATTCGCTGCACTAAGCAGCCTTGCGACGATCGTTGACAGAGTTGATACCTCAGCAGGGCAGCGTGCCTCAATATGTTCAGATCACTTGACAAGTAGAGAACAACATGCCAAGGGCTGGTCACATCAGCATGCACTGTGATAGGCCGCGCCTGCGACCCATATATGCCTTGGTCCTCTGTCGCTCGAGGGCCTGTCACATACGTCTCACATCAGGCACCGGCAGTGACACGCGGTGACTCTCAGCGCAAGCCCCGATCTGTGCACGGCGGACCTTCGGCCAAAGAACGCAGAAGAACAATCGCCTGAAGCTGATCGCTCAAGCGGGAGAACGGCTCTCGTCATGAATATGAGCACCGACCGACATGTCAAGACTGAACTCACTGAACCTGCAGATGAAGCCTGGAGTGATGCCTGGATTTGTTAGCATGCATCATCATGAAAGCCTTCAGCAGGCAATACTGCAAGAAATCCTCAGCGCGCTTTTTCTCTCCGCATCTTACAGAGCCAGCAAGTTTTGTGCTGGCCATGCTGCGCAAGTCTCTTTCAAGTGTCTGGGACTGGGGAGATACCTGCTTCATTCACAGCATAGGCATGGCCGCAAATCACCAATGCCTCAGGCCACTCTGACTGGTGTCAGGAGAAATTGACCACTCTACCGGCCAAGCAACCAGGAAAATCTGAATGAAGATGTGCCTTGCGAACGCAAACAACACAACTCGGGTCTCTTGGACAACTCGTGCACTCGAATCGAGCACTGCGAGGCAGGGTGCAACTGCCACAACGATCTGACAAAAAAGATCCACAGCAGCAAATGGATACCCTGCAACCTCGGCAAGTGAGCTGCGGCAAAGCACCTCTGAGACCGCTTCCTCACGAAAGTGTCAGCAGGCAACTTATGCTTGCAGCAACGGAGCACCATCACGTGAACGGATGGGCCAAACTGCCCTACTTTCTGTGGGGGCAGAAGCAGCAGAAAAGTCTGAGCGGCCACCAGCCTCAGAATGCATTAACTTGACATCCACAGAAAGGAGAGCAGGGGGGCCGGATTTGGTTAAATTTAATGGTCGGGGAGGGCCGGGGGGGTGGGCGGATTTGAGTAAATTTACTGGTTCGGGAGGGGGGCCCAGAGGGAACCGGATTTGGTTAAATTTAATGGTCGGGGAGGGCCAGACAGGAGTCATTTCCCTGCACATGGCATCGACAGTGCAGCCATCTGGTCAAGCGGCCAAGTCAGGATGCCAAATCGCGACAGCGAGTGAAGCAACAGGAGTGCAAAGATAATGCTCACGTAGTGGGACAGAAGCCGTGGTATGTTGCTCCTGAGCACTCCACACAGGGGCGCATGGCAAGGCAATCCTCCTGTGATATGGCAACCTAGGCACTTAAGCCGCAGCAGCCAGGGTGACTCTCCACGCCTTGACGTCCTCTTGGGACCTTGCAGGGATTTGAGGAAGCCCAACTATCTGATTCTTGCAGCTCCGAGCCTCCATCCATCTCCAGAGACATGAACTGCACCCATGTCAACGGCATCGGCAGGCCTCATCCATGTCACAGCTCGTTGTGTCAAGTGGAACATCTTTGCAGACCTGCGCTGGTTTGGTGACTTGCTCTCCCAGTGCACACAGGCCTTTTCGTCGATGTGCAGAAGGTTGTTTTGAAACTGTACATGCGTTAAAAGTAGTTGGAACCTTGCCGGGGACCTGCAGCGGACTGCGCGGGAAAACGAAGCCAATTCACGAGTTGACCCGTTCGAAATTGGCATCGAGGCGCTGTTCGCCGGGCCAGACGGGTCAGCAAGCCTGCCTACATACCTAGCATCGGGTAATTCATGCTTCAGCACGCCACCACAATGCTTGAAGTCTTGAAAACTGTTCTGAGAAGGAATCAGAGCGTGGAATGGCTCTCGCAAAGCGGCTACATCTGAACTGTAGCGATGAACCATGCTGGAAGACAAAACGGAACACCGCCCCACCCTCAAAGGAACTCAAAAGGTGAAACTATTGTCAAGCGCAGTTTCAGGCACAGCCGACATGGCAGACGTATCCACTGCCCGTCACTGCCCCTAGGCTTCAAGGCTAGTCAAGTCTTGCTGCATCAGGTCCAGTGCCTCACGGAAGTTCACCACGTGAACCCGGTTTTGCAAAAGCTCCAGTACCTCTCGGTGGGATCCTTCCTTATCAGCTTCGAGAGCTATGTCTTCCGCTGTGCGCCCCTTCGACGTCGTCTGGCGAGGATCTGCTTTGGCCTGGAGCAAGAGATGTACAACTTCATGATCTCCAGCGTGGGCAGCGACATGGATCGGATATACTCGGGGTTTGGGAAAGAAGAGGCAGCCGCCCTTTGTGGGTCGCGGCATGGTAACATCATCCGTGAAATCGTTGGAACGAAGGAAGTCCTGCAGCTGCTGCCTCCGCTGTTTTCTGGACTTTGACCGCTTGCCTTCTCGGCAGAAATTCGCTACTTGTGCTGCTTGTATGCAGAGGCCAAGGCCATGACCCTGAGCGCCGCCAGAGTTCACATGGTGCGGCAAGTCAAACTGAACCATCGGTAGGAAATTGCATCGGGGAAGCGCCGCGTGCCGGCTTGGGCCATTCGCGGCTAGGCTGGTCAAGTTCATGATCACCTCAAGATCCAAACACGGACTGCAGGCTGCAAAGGCTGCAAAGGCTGCCGGGCCCTGCAGGGTCCCAAGCTGAACCGGGCACGGGGCCCAGCGGAGCTGAAGGCGGCAGCCGGTCGATCAACTCAACCAGACGGGCTTCTGAAGCCTGGATTCTAGGATCCAGGAACTCGAAAAGACAACAGGGATGTCGAAACGATACACCATTCCCTGCTCTACCGGGCGATACAGTGAGTTGCATCAAGGGCTCACACCACACCCAGCAAGGAAGTGGGAACGGGCAAATCCGAGATCTGGGCAACGTTTGCTTTGTACGGAAAAAGCATTTGCTTGCGGTGACAACGATGGTCAGAGATAATCATGCCGATGTGCTCATGCTCATGCGATGCTGCTTGTGCAATTATTCTTCACTGACAGCGCAAGATCTCCAGCGACACACCGACTCCAGGTTAAGTTGGATGCCAGGCGTGCTGCTGCACAAGTTCTGACCGCAATTTTTAGCTGCCCCGAACTCCAAAGAGAAAGAGCGGAAGCTCGGAAGAGCCGGCTATTGTGAGTCCACTCGGTGTGCCCCCACTCGTTGTTAGGCTCCAACTCTTCTTGCAGTCCCTGGCCTCGCATCGCCAAGCCGCGGATCGCAGCAGCTCAGACACCAGGGTCCCGGCGAAGAGCGCCTGGCATTGCGCTTTTTCGATAAAACGTCATCGTGCCGTAACTCCCCATCCCACACGGAAATCCAAGAACAACATGTCCACGCATTCGCCCAACAGCTTGAGAGACTTTCACACGTCGTCCGCCTCCACCGATGACCAGACCCCGCTTGGAGGAGCGCGTGGAGCGGAAGCTGCCTCGCTCTCGTCCTGCAAACGCAACAAAGCGGCAACGAAGGACTCGACTGCCTCGACCTCTTCGCGCCTCCCGTGGCGCCGGCTTCGATTTGTTCGACTTGCCGCGCTTCTTCGCAGAGGGGACAGGAACCTCACGCGCGCCGACCTTCGTGCGACAGGCCCAACTCTGAAGTGTGCGTTTGCACGATGCTTGCAAACAGTGTTAGCGGAAAGGGGATAAAGTCTCCAGAGAAATGCGCGTGCCTGCCCACACGAAACAGCCCTTCAATGCGAGTAGCGTTGGAGTGCTTGCTGCCAGCCTCCTGCTGCTCAGGAGCATCTGCCTGAAGCATTGCAGAAGGAAAAGTGAAGCACCTTGACGTAAGGATTGCTTCCATGTTCCGATACGGTGTTCTGAGTATAGAGTAAGTTTGGCTAGCGACAAATATTTGTTGAATATACTATTGTGCTGTAGCTGTGCTGGAACAGCTGTTGGACCATGACGTTTGAGCTAGTGTCGCACTTCTGTCTGTGCAAGTATCATACATCTGGCGCTTTGTGGCGGCTTCTTTGAACAACCTCGTGCACGCACTAGAGCAAGACATGCAGCCACTGCCCACCTGCACATCTTCGTCCTCAGACTGGCCTGGGTCTGCGGGGCCCCAGCGTCGGCCTCCGGTCGGAGGAAACTTCGAGAACACGGGAGCGAGGCAGCAACATGATGCTTCCACGCCTGAGTTCGCAAGGGAGGACAGAGGTGCTCTGGTTGGCGCGCTTGGAGGCCGCCCAGGTTTAGAAGCCCTTGACGCCGCAAAACCATCCGTCGCTTCTTCCTTGTCTTGGGCCTCTGGAAGAGGAGGTGGCGGGGGCCTCTCTGTGGGGAGCCCCTCCGTCCAGAAGCCGTCGTCCTCGTCTGCTCCGTCCGTCGTTTGTCGCACTTTCGCTACAGCCTCGGCTCTGAGTCGCTGCGCAAAGCTGATTGTCTGCGAGGCCCATGAGCTGCTCTTGGCTGATGCCTTTTTCTTGGCATCTAATGCCACGGCCGCTGCACCCCGCACAGGCGTCGACTGTGCAGCTGGCGTTGTTTGGGCCTTCCGTGCGATGGAAGACCATCCTGTTTTGGGCACGTTCGGTGGCTCCTCTGGAATGTTGGCACCGCGCCGGGCACAGAGGGCCACACCCAACTTCTCATCGCCGGCATCACGGATCTTTCTGCATTCTTCGTAACGCCGCTTAAATGCCTGCAAATCTGCATTGGATCGGAAGCTATGTCTTCCAGCTTGCCATTTTTCATAGATGGGTGAGATCTCCTTCCAATCTGTTTCAGCCTGCTTCAGGGAGGCCTCAATGTCCCGGACTGCTTTGGACTCGGCAGCAGGAGTCTTGCCTCGGACCTGGACCAAAAGCTGCTGCAAGCGATCGATGCCTGCTTTGGCCCTTTCGTCTCGCTGAGCCTTTCGGCAAACGGCGATCCACAAGTTTCGACTGGACTTTCTCTACATGCGGCTCGGCCTGTCCCTGCAGCTTCGAGATCTGCTCCTGGAGGTCAACCCGTCTCACACAGATGCCTATCCACTTTGAGACCCTGCCAGCATCTGCCAGTGCATGTAATCTTCGAAGCTCAATTGACCGGCTTAGGAAGGCTCCTTGCTGGGGCAACGAACAAGCAGCTTGTGAACGGCTTCGTGGTCTGTAGTGTCAGCACAGCAACACTGCTTCAAAAACCAACAATTGAACAGAATTCTGACAAGCCAGCCGGCACGGCTCCGCTCCTGCAAGAAGGCCTCTGCGAGTGGCTTCTCCCTCTTTGTCAGAGGCTCCTTCGCTTCGTCCAACAACGGCTCCCCCAGCTCAATGCAGCTGATGTTGCCACATTCCCCTGTTTTGTTTGTCTGGGGGCATTGAATGTCTCACCGATCTCGAATCTGGCACATGGGGAGGGCTTGTGAGAATAAAAATAGCAAACACTGTTTACCCGATCGCTCCCGGAAAATACCCTGGCGTGCCATTGGCGCGGAGACCGTTGTCACGTTTGGGTTCTGTCAACCGGGCGGTTCCGTCGGATTGGTGGACAATCTCGTTGAAAGGGTAGTTACAGTGACTTTTATCGCTCCAAAACACCGAAAAAATCACACATACCAAAACCACAACGCCCAACACCCAAAGTGCAGAAACCGGCATCAACCCATCAAACCCCACTACCAAGCGTACTAGGCCCGCTGCACCACGTACTACTCAGTAACCAACAAGAACAGAACAAAGAGCCGCATCCCGGCCCAACTTCGCACAACCTCGTGACGCCTGAAGGAAGCGCACTAGCAGTAGCACACTGACCAACCCTCGTAGGTTTGCTGTACGGTGCTGGCTACCAAGCTTTGCTCCTGCAGCCAGCTGCTGGGCAATGTAGCCTGATTGCTCATGCCTGGCTCTACCCAAACACTAGGGATTCAAATCAATCGAAGTTTCTCTCGCCCATGCTAGTGTCCAGACCTGACGCTCTTGAAGTCTCCAAGCGGCTTCAATCATACATTCAAGCCAATCCAAACTTTCTGACACATTAACTGGTAACCTGTCCAAACGACACGACTTGACTTGAGCTAACCGTGCTAACAGCTAACCTACAGTATCCAATTTAGTGACCCCACCCAACCCTAACCTCACCAATCCTAGCTTAAACTACCGGAAACAGCTTGGATCATCTGTCAGATCTCTGAATGAATCATGGTGACCACCCAGAGTTTCAATCAAGCTTGATAGGGGCCAAAAGCAAAAACTGTCTATGTCCTTCTGCACGCGAAGGCACATTCCAGAGCTTCCCAGGGTTCAAGACATGAAATGGCTTTGCCACACCGACCCAAAAGGGCCGAGGCGGCTGACTGCAGAATGCTCCATCTTTATGTCTACCGTGATGAGTCATCTTGTCGTTGCTAACTTCATTGCGTTGCTCTCTACACGGATGAGGGGTGCAGGACCCCGTCCCCCTGCGCTGAAGAGCTACGCCAGTGTCCGAGACCGGGTCTGCGTGAAACATTGCAGAAGGTGTTGACTCCAGCACGTTTCCAGGACAAGCCCCCGAACTCAAACATGCAGCGGTCGGTCCTGTTGAGACCCTTTCTCTCTTTCTCTTTCTCTTATTTTGACATGAAGTCCCCGCAGGTTGCCAGCAAACTCTCTCGATCAATTTGAGCGTCCTCCAACCGGCAGCCCATGGCGCGGCGCACGCGGCCCTGGGCCTCCAGGATTGCTGGACGCTGCTCCAGAAGAGCTGCTTCCTGCGAGATTGACATGCATCCCTCCCTGAAGGCATTCCATGTTTTTTGCCTCTGCCATCTTCGGGAAAGTCGGGGTCTGTGCCTTGTGACATTGTGGACCTTCACCGGTGGACTGGTCATGTCCGGGCACTTTCAAGACTAGCAGTGCAGAAACCTTCAAGCACTGCAGCCCCGGCATGCCCCGGTACTAAATTTGATTGAGTCTTGGTCCTGGGCTTTGGGCGCCTTGGACACAGAGGCTTGATCTGCCCTGTCCAAGAGATCGCCAATCTCAGAGAGGTAGCGGGAGAGGCCGTATAAGGAGTAGGGTTCCTCAGCTGCGAAATCCGAGTTCTGACAGCGCTGCTGTTGACAGATCGGGCTGCACCGCAGAAAAGTCGAAGGTGGGTTCGAAGTTCGACCCAAAACGTATGGATGACGTATGCTGCTTCTTCTTGGCTCCTGCCGACTGGACGACTTGATGGTACAGCACGGAACCCTTGGTGAAAAGGGTCTCTTTGCCTGGCAACAGATGACAGTGTGTCAAATCCTCTTTTTCGCGGTGGATGGCTTAACTACATGCTGCCTTAGTCGTGTGAGTCACAGACTGTGGCAAAGGCTTCTGAATCCCTCAACCATAAACAAATGCTTGCGCAAGTCCTCGCTGAATCCCGTTCACATCAAGGAATTCTCCAGAACACTGTCAAGCGCAGCCAGACAGGGCCAAGCATCCACATCTTCGACCTTGCTCAGGACATCATCCGCCATAGCTCAAAAAGCACCAGGTTAAAATCGAAAGAGTTACACTTTCAGGAATCGGCGAGGATGTGGCCAGAACTTCAAACTGTCTCTTCCCAACGAGCTTCTAAATCTGCAGAGCTGAAGAAGCTGGTCGCAAGATGTGAAGTGTTTGCTGGTGTTTGCTGCTGGAGGAGAACCTCAGAATGGCTTCGGAAGGCTTCGCGAGTCGTAGTGCTTACTCCGCTTGGATTCTCTTACCCCTCACTCGCCACAGCAATCCTCGCGTGCAAGATTCGGGCCTCCGAGACTAGCGTCTTCCGAGGTTCGCCGGGTTGGCGCGCCGCGGCGCAGAGTACGGACTCGGAGATTGTGCGATGGTTCTGCTGGGCTGGAAGACAACAGCAAAACCAAGCTAGACCCTGACTGTCATCACCATACTCGTGCTGTCAGATAGATGACAACAGCAATCGTACAGATCTGTAAAGCTGCTGGCAAAATGACAACACAGAAGATGGTGATGATGGTGACGCCAGCAAATGCAAGGCATGATTGTCATTATTGAGGAAAGGCGATACTACAAGCAAACATACATTCATGTGCATGCATGCGTGGTCATGCATGCACGCATGAATTCATGTATCCATGCATGGATGTATGGGTGTATGTCTGTAGCGGCGCCGGCCGGCCCGGCAGGCAGGTAGGCATGCATGTATACACGGCGCATCACTTCAAGCGAAGTGCCACAGCAGTCCGCACGACTGAAGCATGAGTATCCATCGTGATGTGCGAGCGCCTCGCAAAAAGAAACGAACAAATACATATTGAAAAATAATGAAAACCAACGTTGTGAATGCCTGAAATGACTGGCTGGCTGGTTGCCTGCCTGCCTGCTTGGCTGGAGGGAGGGAGGGAGGGAGGGAGGGAGGGAGGGAGGGAGGGATGGAGGGATGGAGGGATGGAGGGATGGAGGGATGGAGGGATGGAGGGATGGATGGATGGGGATCGATGGATGAGAGCAGCGGAGTAGGGTGGAGTGGAGTGGCGTGGCGTGGGGTGGAGTGGATTGGAGCGGCGTGGGATGGACAGACGGACGGATGATGAAGGAATGAAGTCATGAATGGATGAGTATTCATGCACATGTAGAGATGCAAGTTTGTGCTTCTGCCCGGAGCAGACAGGCTGACAACCAGCCAGCCAGACAAACGGGTGAATGTACAACGGGACATCGAAGGATAGATGATGGATAGGAATGTATTATCGTGCATCCATGTTCTATGTGTGGTACTCAGAGGATGGATAAAGTCTGGCTTTACATTCGGTATGACACTTTGACTCAGGCCATACACCAAAGCACAACAGCAAAGCTTGTGAAGTGGCCCAGATGCAGAGCGAAACGCTAGCCACCAGCGAGAAACCATGTGGCAAATTCACTCCCTGCTTAGCCCTGCAGCGGAGCTCCAAATCCAGAATCTAACAAGTCGCAAGTCTCCAAAAGCCTACAGCCGAGAGGCTCCCAGGTGCGGAAGGAGCCTCTGCACCGGGTTGACGGCACCTGACCTTGAAGCTTCAGCCAATTCGAGAGTTCGGAATGAGCATCTGATCTAGTCTGTTGTATACTCGATGAACCAATACATCATGAGCGAATCTGCTGGACGCAACCCTGCCCAATGAAGTGTGCAGCTGGAGTGGGTCCGGGGAGTAACGGAACGGGAACCGTTTTGGAAGTAACGGAAGCCGATTTCGCACACGTTTGCCAGGAACTCGGGTCCGGAGTCACAGCAACCAGACGACCAGCGCAGGAAGAATTACCACCGGAAATCAGGCCAGCAGGCTTTTAAGATCCAAACACCGCCCAAGCGCATGCACAGAAAGACGTCCAAGAATACCCTCTAAATCTGATAAGGGCTCTAAAGCGTACCCTGCCCACACCCCCTAATGACCCTGATGCAAACCACCAAACCCCGTACAAGACCCCAAGCCCGAAACCCTTAGGCCCTAAATCGTGAACCCCAACTGCCGAGCCCGGAGACTGCTTGGGGTGATTTCAGCTAGACATGTTGGAATCGTAGGTCTGGACCGGAAAGCGGTCCCTGAGCTAGGCCCAGCTAAGCGTCGGTGTTCAATAAAGGAAGGCCTCGGGGCTGCAGTTTCCGCTACAAGGGGCTGGGTCTGCCCTGTTATGGGAACCAGCTGGTTTTTGCTAGGAGGTCGGGGCCTGTTTGTGTTGCACGGCTCTATCACGGTCAGCCGGTTCCCGTTACAGCAAATACTCTCAACCTGACCCAAGACCTAACCATCCTGGCCCAAGGCTCTTCCACTGACGGGGCGATTCACTGAAGGCAAAGCACAGTCATGAGAGAAGGATCTGGACAGTGAGGACAGCGTCGTCTAACTGAAACACGACGCACACCTAACAGACCCGGCAAACTACAGAAACGATACAAACCTTTCAAAGCAGGACTGATCTGCAGTTTGAAACCAACCCAGGGATACGACAATGCTGACCGCTGCGAGTACTTCAGCAAACTGATCTGCTTTGGCCACAGCCTCAGCTTGCAAGCAGGCTGGGGTAGCACGAATCTCTTGCCTTCGATCAAGGCCCGTGCTCACTGAGCCGCGCGAGCTGAGGCAGCAAATGCCGCATCATGAGCAGAAGGAGGCTCCTGCACACGACGGAGGCACTGCGGTCAACACGGGCACATCTGGGCGTGTATTCCTCTTACAGATTGCACTGGTCTGGCTTCTGCTTGCAATTGCACAAGGGAGCGCAGGGGCGCACTTGTGTGAAGGCGCCGACGTGGCGTCTACAACGAAGTGATTGCCGTCTGCCTGCACACAGCAAAGACCAGAGCCGAACAGGGCAGTTGAAAATCGTGTAAAACCCTCCATTCTCGACAAAAGCCTGCACAGATGCTGCCGGGAACGGCAACGGACTCCTCGGGTTCACATGCACGACATTGCGTCCCCAAGTGCTAATGATGCTAATGCTCATCACGTCATATGAAGTCAAGCCGCTTCAGAAAAAGCATCGCAATGCCCGGCATCCGAAGCAGAAGCCCATCGAGGACCTTTGTGAGTTTCACGCACTGCGAGCAGACGCGCAGGTTTAATGCACTTAGACTTCTGGGCGATGCTGCAGGCATGCTCCCTACGGGGCAAAGCCCAAACCGTGGCAGCGGCACAGAGGATGCAGTTCGGTCCTGCAGCGAGAGCTGGAGTCCAGACAAGCACCGGCTAAGTCGGCTAAGTTTCTAAGTAGCTCACACGGAACGGCGGAACGCATGACATCTCTTCCGCAGGCACAGGGCCCGTCGGAGGCTCCTCGCGAGCCTGAGACTCTTAGGCCGGGGCCGAGCGCCAGCGGGTAGGCGGGAGGAAGGCCCGAGCTGGAAGTCGGAGCCTCCGTCGGAAGAGAGCGGCGAGGGCGAGAGTGCGTTCCGCGTTTCTCGGCTGTCAGGCAGAAGCCCGCGGCAGTCCTCAGCCTGCTCCAGGGTCTTCGATGCCACTTCGTGAAGCTTCGGGAAGGTCGTCCTGCGACGCAGGATTTCGCGAAGCGATTTGAGAAGGGATGCACGCAGGATTGTCGGAAAGCACTCTTGGACCTCAGGAGGTTTCCGATTCAGTTGCAGTGCACTCGCACGCAATACCTGCCCCTGCCTGAACTGGACATCCACACCGAAGCAAATCTCGTTGACCAGCGTCCTTGCGAGGAAGTTCGGTCGTGGCATCGGCTGCGATTCCGATGCTGTCTAAGGGCGGAGCTGAAGGACGAGGAGCGCCGAGGCCGGAAGAAGTGACTTCTTGGGCCCTGTGTACAGGGGCCCATCATGGCGTGGGCCGCAATGATTTTCTCTGCATGGCTTTTCACCGGGGAGGATCTGCCGACCTCGTGGTCGCTCTGCCTCGGGGATGGGAGCCAGCCTCGCGTCAGCACACGGAAGTGGAGAGCTGGATCCCGTAAGGGAGAGATCAGCTGCACGGCAAATCTACGTTGAAGCCGCATGCAACTGGAGCGGGTCAGAGCTACTTGTAAGCTTCCCGATCCTCCATCCTGCTCCACGAGGCCAAGATCCCGGCAGAAGTGCGTCGGGCGAGGCGGCTCGCGTCCTCCGAGCGACTGCCTCGAGGCGACTTTGGAGCTGTTCCGAGACAGCACGAGACCATTTCCTGGGGACCGGGCCTTGAGGGAGTCCTCAAAGAGCTGTGGATTGCGGCCTGCGAGCGAAGATGCGGCGATGCCACAAGGCACCGTCCAGACCTTTAAGCTTAGCTCAGTGCTCATCAAAGGAAACAGCGGCTGGTAGATGTCCCTGCGGGATGCGAAAGACAAGATTCACTGAGCCTCGCGTCTCTCTGGATGCATCGTTGAGCCTCGCCGGCACCTCTTTCCGAGCCCCGAGAATGCCCAAAATCTCCAGCTCCATCCTCTGTCCTAGCACCGGCCTTGACCAGAAGAGCGCGAGAGGCCGGGACATGGCACTTCCAGCGACGCGAGGCCCGGGCGCTTCTTCCAGGAGCATCACCACCAAGTCGGAGAGCATTTGCAAGAGCCTAGGCGACGACTCGACACCTAATCCGCTGCACCTCATGCCTAGGGATTTGAAAAACGACGTGCATGCTCAGGCGACGACCCTTGGAAAGCCGCTTGCCTGCCCAGTCGAAAGAGCCTCAACTTCGAGAGGTTGAAACGAGCTGTGCCAAGACCGTGTCAGAACTTGGGCCCCGTGCAGGCGCAAGGCTTTAACACCACCGTCTCCCCCCTCCGCCTGCAGAGGAAGCCAAAGCCAAGGTAAAGCCTTCGGGCTAGCGGCTACACCGGTTGTTGTTAGGGCACTGCTTCGGTGATCGAAAAAGCGATCAGCGGCAAACAAGAAGACAGAAATGAATAAGCCTGAGCATCCTTCTTGAACCTCGGCTGCAGTCTCTTCGCTCTAAATCTCTTAGACGTGCTAAGCTCTCTACGACATGATGAGCAAGACCCGCACATGGTACAAGCAAGACTGCTGGCCGCTGTTTTCTGTTTTCCTCCCTGCTGAGGTGCAAGAGCCATGGGTCAGTGGAGGTGCCTTTGGCGCAAGTTCAGAGGTCTATGCTGCACCGAGCCGACACGTTCGAGACACAGCAGCCGCGGTCGGGGATCGCGGGACTTCGCGGGAGCGTGGAGGAGTTTATGGCCGTCAACTGGCGAGCCGGAAGTCCGTCTCCAAAAGCCCCGCAGCGATCCACAGCCAAACCAGAACCATGGCATAGGATGTGCTGTGAAGCCATATGCCCAAGAAGTGAAGAGCAGGTTCCAATGGCTGCCTACCTTTCCATCTTGCCCAAACGGTTACGCTTTGCTGCGAACTCAATCAACTGGAGCTGAAAGCTCCGATTCCCCAGAACATGTCCTGACAGTCACCAAAGTCTTCAAGTACAACGTTGTCCCCACGAATGCCTCGGGAGGAACCACCATGCTTGGGAATCAGCTGGACCCTTTCGGTCCTCTTTTTTGCTTCAGCAACATCACCGCAGGCAGCAAGTCCATGCCAAGAGCATCGATGAGATACGCTGCACAAACCAAAGCCGAGCCTCGGCACAAAGATCCAGCAACTTCGGCTTAGGGGACACGGCAACAAAACCCGTCCGATCACAGAACCCGATACTTCAGAAGAGTCTGGGGACGATTCACGCCCATGGCGCAGTGCACCAGACAGCGTCCGCCAGAACCGCGAGCAGTGTCCAGCGTTGGCCGAATGACTTTGGCATAGTGCTCCTCGATGCAGTTTGCTCGTGGGCTGATTTTTCCACAACTCGAACAGCACTGGAAGCCATCAGCAGGGGCACCAAGTTACGGTGACTATTCTAAGAGCAGCTGCTCCCAACCATCCAGTGCAAGAATAAAGGCCAGGCTTCGTCAAGGAGCCTGTATCCCGGCTCGTCATAAGCCTCGATCCCAGAGTAGCACAGGTTCCTGCTGTTTTCGCCTGCGTGCAGGGGACAGAGCTTTCCAAATCCACTCTCACGGCAACCACGCTCTACCTTGCGCCGCTGCCTTCTACAAACCAGGGTTCGCAGCAGTTCCTGGGCTTGAGAGCAAGCATGTCTACGCGACAAGTGGGTAACCAGGGTGTGAGATACAGCCGAGTCGCAGCACGTGCGTCACGGCCTGTGGGTTGGCTTTTGCGGCCAGCTCGGCAGCTGGCTTGCCGCCCAACAGCAGCCAGTCATTCACTTCCTTGGATAGACCATGGCCACTGTCCCTACGAGACAACACGGCTTTGCACATCTCATGCGGAAAGAGACACTTGTCAATGTCAAGCCGGGGAAGCCGTCTAGCTTGTAATTGCTGAGAGTCGGCCGCTTCCAGAGTGGTTGAACCTGCCATGAAGGACTTGCCCTAAACCCCTGAGCCAAAGTCGACGAAACCCCAGAAGTCACCGAGTCAAAAGCCACGAAACTTTTCGAATGTTTCACGAAGTTAGTACATGTGCTATGACACCTGTTCTGGATTTTGTTGTATTCTGTTTCTACACGGACTAAATCGATCGGACATGCATGATGCATATGCATGACACTCTCTGCCTGAATTCGGTTCTGAATCGTTTGCAAAACGAAGCCTTCTTGCTCCAGGATTGACTCGATCAAGTGCAGGCAGTCTTCCAAAGCCTGAGCGCCATGGAGTGCTTTTGAACAAGCAAAGTCAAAGTCTTGTGCAGCGGCGACCAAGGGGCAAACTGGTCACCCAGCGCCTGCTGCGCAGCCAGCTCATCTTCGGTGGCCTCCTGAGATGGTCGGGGAGGGGTCGAGAGCCAGAGTATGCCATGATGGACACTGGGACACTCAGACATCAGGTTGCGACAAGCCCCTGTTGATTTTTTTGGACTGGTTTGGCTTCTTGCTGAACCAGGCTCCACAGCCACCGGTTCGCTTGTTACTTCCTCCCCTGTTTCGGCTGTGACACGCACACGGAAGGGACCTGCCAAACAGACGTACAGAGCACCACAGGGATGGGGACAGAGGCCCAGGCACCACGCCACCACGCCTGCTCCTTCGTAAGAGAGTGTCAGGAAGTCGGCTTGGCCGCCTGAAGACTTTCACAGGTAAGCTGCCGCAGTATCTATGTCCGTACGTACAGGCATGTGGGATTACACACTGCCACACAATTACATGACTATACGTAGACAGCCACGTATACAGACATGTACAGACAGATACCCAAACAAAAGGCAAGTGTGCTGGTACGAGTACATGCTAGCGAATGCTGTTGCACTATCTCACCTGGCTTCCAGCCTCTGGCCTGATGCCAGCTCGGTCAGCTCGCCTCGCAATCTGCCGTGGCCCTGCACCAGCTCCATCTGCAGATAGCCCTCGTACCCGCGGTCCTGGGTTTGGGAGACGCGTGATCGCGATTCGTGCACACGGACTCTCTTTCTACGCACCGGGAAAGGGAGGACAAACTCGAATGAAATCTGACGCTTCAGCCTGGGTGCAGGTTGCAGGTCATCGGAGTCGGTGGACGTAATCACGTGCCTTCTGGCAGACCTATAGCCCTGTGGCCCTCAAGAAAGACTGACGCTTGATGCTGCCCGGCTGCAAAATGAAGGGCCAACCGGAGCGCACGCCCTCTGGCAAGCCCTCAAAAGCCAAACGCACCATGGCGAATTGGGTACCAACACAGGTCAGAAAAGATCTAATCTCGAGTACTTGCAGGTGATAACTGCGGGACTGTATGCTCCTTGATTCTCGAGAAAAAGCGGCGATTCTTGGCTGGCATACGTGATCTAAGATTGCCACAAGAGCAGCGGGACGACACGCCACGCACTGAGCACTGGACTGCGGATTTTGCTGGTATGCCAGGAAGGCTTTCGCCCCCACCGATACGGAGCATAAGCGCAGAAGCACCTCAAATCAGTTTATTTGGTCTAAACCACTTATGCACCCGATGGCAGTGGCCTGCAAGCATGGCTGCGCCAGCGTGCCATCCAACCCCGGGAAGGCATACATCAAATCCAGGATCAAGCTCACCTTGGAACACCCAATGCTTGCTGACCGCAACTTCGTATGCCTCTAGGCTGCCATCGTTCTTGGCACTCCAACCCACATCTGCTGCGCCTCCTTGTCCAGAGCCTCGTCAAACAATCACTTCTAATTTGGAGGCTACAGTACGCGGTAGCTTGGTGGGAGTGAAGCGAATCTCTTGCAGATGATTCGCCAGCGAATGGTATGCAACGAAACCAGGTTGTCTTCTGTGCCTCTCGGGATTCCCGCATCTTGACCAGGTCAGCCTGTGCCATCGGGCTTCGTCATGTGACCCCGAATTCACCCATCAAAGCCATCACCCTGAAAAACACTGCACAGGGTGAGGATTGTTGCGGCCTGTGGTGTGCCCAGGAGTACGAGGCATTTAGAGTTCGTGTTTGCCAACTGCATTCGCAAGGACGAACCGGTCGTTACGATATCCCTCAACCAGATCTCAGACGATGCTCCTCAAAAACATGCCTGCCTCTGAAGTGTGCTCAACCAGAAAGACTGCTAATCAGAAGAAAGGGTTTCATCAATCATACGCTTCGGATGATGCAGAAAGGACGCTCCTCAGCAACGCATGGAAATGACGGTGAAGCCTTTCCCTCGACTATATTCTCGCAGCAGAAGCAAACGTGCATCAACATGGTCAGACCCTGTCCGACAAGACCAGCTGATCAGCTGAACGTGTTCACACGCTTGTCCCTGGGTCTCCAACCAAGGCAGTCATGATTCTCAGGGGAGCTCACTCGCGAGCAGTTGTGATGAATTTGCACCAAGAAGATCCTTAAGCAAAGCTGAAGCTGAAGTACCACGCAGCACTTCCTAGTGCCAAGCTATCACCTACCGTGTCCCCGCTGCAGCTGCCTGGCACAGAAGCTGCTGCACGCATACCTTGGCTGCCCCGAGCCCACTCTCTGAGGTCGCGGATCTTGGACTCGTCTGAACCATGCCCGTATGAGGTTCAAGCCTGGGCCGTAGGCCCAGGGCTTGTATCACGTTTTCGGGATCAGTTGTGGTCGTCGATGAGCGAACGGTTTCAGATGCTGCTCAATGTGCAGCTGTGAATTAGTAGTACCACGCAGTTCGCAGACTTCCCCTCCCCCCTTGCCAAGGTCTCGCGAGTCTCACGGTCAACGGAGGTCACAGACGAGTGTCGCTCTGTAGCACACACACACACACACACCCTCGAAAGGGCGGGAAGCTGCGTGCTGCCTGCTTGCAAAGCACAACCGTTTGCGCTGATGTCGTCTTGGCATTGGGTAAAGCTTCCGAACTCCTGGATGCTGGCCGACTTTCTGCAAAGGTTTGCACTGATCTTGCTGGATAAACGTAAACGGTAAACGGTAACTCTTCTGACCGCGGCCGGATGCTGCCCGCATTTCTGCAGAGGTTTGCGCTGATCTTGCTGGGTAAACGTACACGGTAACTCTTCTGACCCACTGCGGCCGGCGCTTCCGACGGATCAATGGCCTCAGAGCCCGAGGCTGCGGCAACTGTTGGAGTCAGCCATGGAGGCGGTACCAGTAAGGGCTCGCCCACTCCTGCAGGCGATTCACGGGTAGGAGCCTCCGACATGTCTCACCGCTCAAAACTAGCCCAACATGCAGCCCCCCATGTAGGAACCCTTTCGCTTCAGCGCATGAACTGCCTTGCATTCTCTCATATACTCTCGTCTCCAGCACATTTCCATGTGCCATCTTGTGATCTGAGCTCACCTGAGGGTGCTGGAGCCGACGTGCCGAAGTGAAGCATCCGATGCCCACGTTCCTCGCGAGGATTTCGATAAAGGTAGGGAAGACTGGTACCAAAAGCCGGGAATCCGGGCTGCTGCAGGAATCGAGAAGTCAATTCCCTGGATGCACCTGCAACGCAGGGAGCGGGCCAGCTGGTCGTTTTGTCTCGTTGTTGCCACACCCTGGGTTCGAGATCCGTGGAGACTATGACGTACATTGCGTCCACAGGCATATTATATATATATATATATATAGCGAAGCAAGTAAGTAAGAGTCTGTTTCTCACACAGTTCAACGGCCCCACGAACACAAGGTTGCATTCATTCAATTACGTGTCAGATTTGGCAGGTGGAGTGGCCGCATCTTTGAAAATCGCCCTTACACCACTGCCGGCACAAGCTATTCTCCTGAACTTGCATTACCACCTCTTCCGCACGACTGCCAAACTGCTAAATTGTTCAGGATTCATTCCCAGACTCTTAGCAGCACTCCCAATGCTCGCAACGCGCACACCAGCTGGGATTGCAACCAGCGGTGCAACTTCACCAGCAGCTCTGCGATCCCCTGCTCGCCTAGGATGAAATCAAGGGTAGCGAGCTCGCAGTGCATCAAATTCTTTTCTTTGCGGGGAATTTACAGCCGAAGGACTGGACCTCGAAGTCAAGTAACTGAGCCCCATGCCCAACGTCTTGCTGGTGGCAGGTCGACGGTGGAGGAGGTTCGCCAGGATCTGTTGCAAAGGCTTCAACTCAACAAACTAGAATATGACGGGTGTTTACTGCTGGCATCCAACAGCGCACAAAGCCTGCAGGAGCGTCTTAATTTGGACACTCTGATCCACGACTCTGTCTGAGCTACAAACGCGACCACATGTAGGAACACAGTCCGCCCTCAGGCTGAGAGCTTAAGCAGAAGAGAAAGCAGCGTGATCTATCAAGTGCTGCACGACGATTCTAAGAATGGAACATCGGGTGGGCTGAATCTGTGTTCCTTCATAGTTGCCAAAGGCGCAAGCTCGAGCGAAGGGTCTGTCATCGATTTATGAACGTGCAAACCCGATCGCAGCTCAGCTGCTTTCAAATGCAAACTGAAATAAACTGAAGTCTGGTCTCTGATGCAGTGTCCTCGTGAAGGCACTGCAGAGATCATGTGTGAGTGAATTGCACGCAACCTAGCTCCGTAGAGGGTTTGCGGCCAGAACCACGTGCTGTGCCACTGATGTAGGAGCAATAACCACGCAGATTGTCTTCGGTCATGTGGCTAGCTGGTCGGCCATAGCAATAATCCCTTGCTTTTTCACTCCATGGTCTACAATACAACTGCTTGCCTAATATGTCTCGCCACTGTCCAGCACATCCAACTGCGTGGCATTGATACATTTCAAGCATGGGACATTGCACTACCTTACACTGGTTTGCATGCCGATGTTTGTCTCATCAAACGACATTACCTTGCATTACATTGCTTTGCCTCACAATGCGTTAGTATTCATAGATGCAGCTGTGCAGGACCGCATACATACAAGCACAACAGGTTCGAAGACGTGCCTGTCCGACTATCCACCTATGCATCGACGATCTTCTCATCTACCTACACGCCTCTTTGTCTGTCTGTCGGTGTATGCGTTGATGTATGTATACACATATCTATATATGAATATGTCTACGTAGTATCTGCCGAACTATTCGGCAGATATCCACGTTTGGGTACCGACATTTGCTAATACCGCAGATATCCTATCTATCTCTCTATCGACAGGTCTACACCTGCTTCCATAACTGCAGAAGACAACCTGGTCTACCATAAGCAACGATGGAAAAACTACGTATGCTCATTCAGGCAAGCAGACAGACAGACAGACGGACAGACAGATCTACAAGAAAGATCCCAACGCCTGTCCATCAGAAAACTGTTCAAAAAATCATGTCAAAGCAGGCACGGGATAGGACGTTTAAAACCACCATACCCATGCATGTGTACATGCACTTACATCTCGTACATGAACTAGCGCGGGTATGCGATGCTTCTTTCAGGCGTAGCACTCTAGGTGTATGGACACTTGCACTTGTGACGACCGAATGCATCTCTGCTTACGCGGTCTATCTATATATATATATATATTCTTAGTATCTGTCCATCTACCTGTTTGTTTGTCAGTATGTCTGCATATATATATATATATGTATATACAGTACGCGCACATGTATCGATATAGCTATATAAAAATAAATAGTGCTTGTATTCACATGTGTGCAGATATGCGCTTGTCATCGCTAGCATAAGAACATGTGGCTATGTGCATATATATATATATATATTCATATCTACACTTATTGAAACGCACATCACATACATACATGTGTATGGAACTCCATACATGTACACAGGTAAAATGTGTGTAGATGCATATATATATATATGTATGTTTATACATATGTATATATATATATGTATGCATATATATAGGTATATAAATATGAAATATATATATATATATACACACATCCTGTCTCTTTACGTCTTCACATAATATGTTTGTTACGTGCATGTGCATTTTTGTATGCTTTACAGACACATATATGTGTCTATAGATGCATATACGTAGCTTGCATCCATGCATTCCCCACACATGCATACACATGCATACACACACACACGCGCGCACACCTACACACATACATGCCGACATACAGAAATGCATGCCACATGGATAGACGTTCATGTGTATGTACGTATGTCTGTGTATGAATGTCGAAGGCGCATATAGAGACGTGTGTAAAATACATACATTTACATATACGAAGTTTTGGACAAATGCATTATTGTGCTAGTTGATGTACATGTGTTTATACACTGGGGCACACTAGCAAACACTTTTGCATGCATAAGCTCCAAGTGCGCACGCATGTTAGCGATCTGTTGAGCAAAAAATTCAGATTCGCATATTCAGGCGTATTGCAGATATCTTTGTGTATGCGTTAGACATGTTTTAGTATGACGCGGCTCGATTTGGCGAGATCCTGTAAAACTTCCGAACTTTTAATTTTAAGACTCTCAGAGACAAACAATGTGCAAGTGTAAATAGACTCTCACAACAACTATAGCAAGAGACAAACAAACAGACCATGTGTACACATACACACAGATGTGTATGTGTATATATATATATATCATGTGTGTATATATATATATCGAGAGACAGAGAGAGATAATCTGTGTAAATACAGATGTGTATATATATATATATATATACATGTGGGCATGTATATGCCATGCTCATATATGGACATACATAACATGTATATAGAATATAGAGAGATATGTAGCTAGATAGATAGGTAGATGGATAGACAGATAGATAGATAGATAGACATTGGTTTCCTAAATCTCCAACGCTCGAGAACTCGCTGAACGGCCCCATAGTCACATACGCATAAGTTATGTAGATACAGACATCACGTATGTGTGCGTGTATATATATATATGTACATACACATACAGTTCACACTCTTTCTCCACATATATTTACATATCTACATATGTACATACATACACACATACATACATACATACATACATACATACATACATACACACATACATACATACATACATATGTTACAACAGAGAGAGAGAGAGCGAATACATGCACACACACACACATATATATATATAATGATATAATCATAGGCACGTATGAGCATCGGCATGGGGCACGACACATGCGTCTAGCCTGCTTGTTTATTACCAAAGGCAAAGACATAGACCATGACAACGCAAAGGCGTGATTGCTCCTTCAACGACTGCGGACCGCAGCCGATATGGGCAGCACGAACTCGAGTCGAGCGTGACTTGCAAAGGACCCGACATTCGTTGAAGAAGAACGAACCCTTAAAAGTCATGGTGGGATTGGAACCCAACCCAAGAGAAACTCTGTACGGCACCAGTGAAGCATCCACGGAGCAGAGTACTGCCCACCCGCTTCACCGGGGAGGAAAATCAATGAATTTGGACCCTGAGTCATTCGCCTATCTGAGCTTTACTTGTTGAGGTTCTGCATCATGTTCACGGCATCTCGAAGGCACAGAACACGACCCTGGCTGCGCAGCAGCTCCAGCACTTGGCGAGTGTGCGGCGACTTCGACTTCACGGCGAAATCGACAGCAGTGCGCCCACGAGAAGTGCGCTGAGATGGGTCGGCTCCTGCTGCTATGAGCATGCGCACCACCTGGGGTTGTATAATAGTCCCGTATAAGGATCCTTATCCCTGAACGTCGTTATCGTTATCTTTTCTTCTTATCGTTTTTCCATGAAAATTGCGTTATCGTTTTGTTGTCGTTGTATGTTCTTCTCGTTTGACCATAGAGGTCATCCAAAACCCAACAAGGACATGCCAAGACTAAACCTTAAGGCGCGGGGTGTTAATACAGTCCCACCTCACACTCGCCCTTCTGGGCTGCAACATGGATCGGGTAGAGTGTTTCGACCCGGAAGAGCATGCAGCCAGCGGGTACCCGCGGTTCGCACACATCGGAAGAAAATCCATGACTTTCCAGAAACCTCAGCTGCGCGTGCTTGCAATCACAACACCACAGGGACGAAGAGATCTTGAAACTCCAACTCACCCTTGGCATCCCTCGGCAACCGTCGAAGGAAACGCAATACTTCCAAGTGACCACAACTCACCCGATGTTGTGAAACTCTGTTTTTTGAATGAGCAGCTACGTGCAAGCAGGGAGCTGGAAGAGCTTCTTCTCCCGTTGCAGCCGCCACTGCCGGCGCCTGGACGTAGACTTGGTCTCCTGAATCTCCTGCTCCTCCTGAGGATCTAACCAGGCCTGTCCCTGGAAGGACTCAAACCAGTTCTCAGTTCCTGAGAAACCTGAGCTCTTCGTGGAACAACTCGTGTCCGAGGAGCTTTTGCTATTGTCGCCGCACCTGGCCTCCAGCGTCTTCAGCAGCCTTCTTTCAAGCTCGGGTTCCGGTAGGATCATTTTGGTATCCTGGCTACCCTGACAG